CTGTGATACAGAAGACCTGGAAATGCTGACCACTCAGAGCAGACTGGGCATTTTCAGGAGGGAGACTTAAAGAGACAGGCACAAATACGGAGCATTTTAGACAGAGGGTGAATACAGGTGCTCCATCACAGATAGTATAAGAGGAAAAGTGTTTTTTGACCGTTAAAGTATGTAAACAAGTTATAGGAGAAACCCAAAATACAACTGTGAAGCTGGAAATGATCACAATAGGTCCCCTTTCTAATAAAAATAATTTCATATTATAAACAGCATTTAACTTTAATGTGCCAACTGACATGTTTTTTATTATTTTGGTTTAATTCAAATGTTTAAATTTGTTTTTAAATTTTGTTTTCATCTTAAACAATGACCAAATATATACAATGTGTACTACAATTAAGTTTCATGATCAGTTCTTTACTTCTGCCTGACCATAAAGCAGACTCTTATATATATGAGGACTGGCCCAAATCACCTCATTACACTAATAAGTACTCTAAAACCGGCAACTGTGTCTCTAAAAGAGAGAAATCTGAACACACACACACACACACATACACTCTTGGTGTGCTGACAGGTCTCTGGCACCCACTGGGTTAATACATAGGAACATGCTTAACCCACAAAAAAGACAATTACACACATCTGCAAGCCATTAGGTCTAATCACATAGTGCAGCAGAGGCAGAATAACAGAGACCATGCCGTATATTGGCCTGTGCTCCACTCTAATATGTAGTCAGGATTGGAAACTACATGCAGAGCTCACTGCTACTCTCATCATAATGAGAATAATCATCAGCCGTGGGAAAAGAAAGATCTTCTCCAACAAAGCCTTATTGTCTGAAGGTTCCTACGATACAGGGAGCTGCAACGTACAGAACCGTGACAGAACAATAGAGCCGGCCTTGTCACACAGGTCTTGTTCATCTTTTTTTTCCCCATACACCTCATCTTGTGTGTGTAAGGAACACAATGGGATTATGAAGGATTAATGTGAGGCTAAATCCACACTAAGGGCACAGTCACACATGCGCAGAATTAACACTGGCAAATATCCGCCTCCTGTTCACTTCTATGCAATGCGATATGCGATGCGATTTCAATTTTGTCAACTTTGACTGAAGATGTCGCAGCCTCAACCAATGGCAAAGAAATATGTGTGGTTGATCCCACTTGACTGTCACTGCCTGTAGTTTTACAAATGAGCCAAGATAGAAGAGAAATTGATTGTTGCCCAGTCTAAACAGCCGACATTGTATTGGCTCAGAAGGCAGAGCGGGTCGTCCACTAATCGGAAGATCGAAGGTTCGATCCCCAGCTCCTCCAGTCCACATGTCGAAGTGTCCTTGAGCAAGATACTGAACCCCGAATTGCTCCCGATGGCTGTTCCATTGGTGTGTGTGTTAAAAACTGAGGAGCAGGTGGCACCACCTTGCATCGGCCACCAGTGTATGAATGCATGTGTGAATGGGTGAATGTGACTCGTAGTATAAAAGTGCTTTGAGTGTCAGAGGACTAGAAAGAAGGTATACAAGTGCAGGTCCATTTAACATTTACATCCAACACCTCCCACCTTTAACATGAGTATCAGGCTGGCAGTTTTAAAATGAAAAAGATCTCCGTACACACCAGCATTTTAGCACAGTTTCAGAAATAATCTCCGTCTACACTACCACGCCTGAAAACAAATATCACATGACCGTTCTGGTACACTTTGTGTGCAGGTGTAAACAAGAAGCAGACTGTCTACTCTGCGGTTGGTTGCTTAGTTACTATGGATGTGTTTTACGATGGAGGGAGAACAGCAGTGGCGACAAGCAAGACCAGAGATTTCTTTGCATGGACCTTGTTACTGAAAGTGTACGGTTGTCAAGCGATGGTGAACAACTTTGGAGTTGTTCCAAAGCAAATACGGTGACACATTAGAGCAATACCGGGACCATTCTCCATCGCTGGAGGAAGCTATGGCAAGAAGGATAAAATCGCAAAAGGTATGAAGGCCTGCTATAATGTTTTGGTTTGACATGTTGTGACTGCTAAGACCCAGGAAACAAACGTGGGCCATCGTCACCAAATGTCTCCACACCAAAACACAACCACAGAGTTTTCAAACTGTCCGAGGACAGCAGCGTTTTCAAGCATGTCTGTTTCAGGGGTTTGAAACACCGGAGTGGTGTGGGTGCTACATGCAAATGTGCTGAACTTATCAATTTTAAGACAAAAACATATTAGTGTGGATGTAGCCTGAGTGTGAGTCCTAAAATAAAATCATCCATCCATTTTCAACCACTTATCCAAAGTCAGGTCGTGGGGGCAGCAGGCCTTGCAAAGCAGCCCAGACATCCCTCTCCCCAGCAATACTTTCCAGCTCCTCCTGGAGGACCCCAAGGTGTTCCCAGGCCAGATGAGATATGTAATCCCTCCAGTGTGTTCTGGGTCTGCCCAGGGGCCTCCTACCAGTGGGACATGCCTAGAACACCTCTAACAGAAGGCACATAGGAGGCATCCTGATCAGATGCCTGAACCACCTCAACTGACCCCTTTCGACGTGAAGGAGCAGCAGCTCTACTCCAAGCTCCTTCCGGATGTCCGAGCTCCTCACCCTATCTCTAAGACTGAGCCCAGACATCCCACAGAGGAAGCTCATTTCTGCCACTTGTATCCACATCATTACACAGAGCTCATGACCATAGGTGAGGGTTGGGATGTAGATGGACCAGTAAATCGAAAGCTTTGCCTTCCAACTCAGCTCTCTCTTCACCACAACGGTTGTCTACGCATCACTGTAGACCGAAACGGCCTATCTACCTCACGCTCCATTTTACCCTCACTCGTAAACAAGACCCTGAGATACTTGAACTCTCTCATTTGAGGCAGTAACTCTCTCCCAAAAAATATAATAAAATAAAATCATTGATGTCACAATGAAGATCAGGGCCACCTGGCGGATATAGGAGCTCTTACCCCCCATGTTAGGGCCAGTGATTATCATAGTTCTCCTGCCATCACCCTGGAGGAGAGGAGAGGAGAGGACACAAGGTGAATAAGGTGTTTTGGGGTACAGTGGGATTTGTTTTTTTTTTAGCCTCAGGTCGTCGCCACCTTCGTTTCTATGTGTAATTGCACTAATAAGAAACAATCTGCTGAGGTGATGCTGTGCTCCGTCAGTGCTGTCATGGTCACAATCTTTGTCTCCCTGTTGAAAAAGACGATGGTAGAAAAAGACACCTAGATATCACTTCTCGAGCATGTTTGTGTCTGTCCATCGGTAAAAAGAGACAAACACTGTGGTTCGCAAAGGCAATGTTGAGTCACTTTAACATCATGGACAAGGTAAAGACAAATGTTTGTATGCTGTTATAAAGTGTGAATGTGTCATTATTTATTGATATGTCATCTTTAATATGCTTGCCAGGAAAATAAACATCTACATGCTGGTGTTATCGAGAGACTACAAGCAAGCTGTGTTCATTTTTCTGTGCAGCTGCATCAAATGATTGCTTTAATTCGTCTCATGTTTCTGTAAAAATCCACACTGGTTCCTGAAGCCAATTCACAAGCTGGAGGATTCTGGTGAAGTGTCAGTTCATGCAAATTACAAAAAAACAAAAACATATTTTTATAGTTAACTCTTGCAGCTTTCAACAGTTATGGATAGGACTACTTTTTCAGAGGAAAGTAGACCCAGTGAAAAGTGTACTGATTGTTTGGGGACCACATTTAACAACAGTTAACTACATCAAAACATCCATTTACGAACTCACAACTCGTGCTGTATCTCAGTTTGCACTGGACGTCAATACAAACTTTTGGAATGAAAATCTGGTTGACGATATGTTAAATGTCTAGTGACGCAGGAATGTCGCATTGGGTGGATGTTTACATTGCGTCATTTTGCAAACGCTAGGTTTTGGTCTCCACACCTCACGACCAAATGTCTTTATTCTACCTCGACCTGACGTTGGCATGAGATGTAAGAAAGATATAGGATTTTGGTTACTTAACAACACAACTTAAAACCAACAAAATATCAACATCATCTGTCGTCAGTATTCAAGTAGGGGATATTTGTCAAGTCACAAGCATTAAGAAAATTTACATTACCAAAAGTTTATGACAAAATCACTTGAGACACAGACTCACACATGCACATGTCGAGAGAGGAGAAGGAGAGACGCTGTGCTGCTGCCAGAGGAGCCGCTGAATGAGTTCCCTCTGAGCAGTAACTCACTAAAAGAGTCTGAGAAGTCCAGAGCTGTTCATAAAACATTCAGGATGCCACAGTTTATTCCACACAACTTTTCAGCCATGCTTGTTGTTGTCGTGGGTAACAGTATGACGTCATATATCAACACGTCAAAATATCGCGAGTATCACAATAAGAATTTTTCTTATGATATTAAAAATCATACCGGTATTATCGTGAACGAGACGATATGGCACAGCCCTAAAACCAAGTCTCATTTATCCAGTCGTGTGCTCAGTACTTCCCAACACATGCATTTTCACTAAAATAACGTAGTATTAAAGTCCAGCTTCGAGGAGATGATGGATAAGTTTGTGATTTTTAAAGTACTCAACATGTTACCAAGTCACCTCTCAAGAGAAAAATGCCCACAAAATCAGTTGCTCTCAAAAAGACAATTTATTTGGTGTAATATGACACACCATTATTTCCTCTTCATCAGGTAATATACAACATGTGACCGAGAATGTCCTTGCAACCCATCAATTATGTCCATATGTACACATTAAATGATTTACAATATTTACAACACAAACCTCAGTGATGCCACTTGGGTCAAATTCATCATGTCTGTTTAGAAGCATTTATTCAGTGTGTGGGCTCTTGTTTATCTTGAGATTGCACTTGATGTGCTGCTGTTGGGATCTGTATACGCTACATTGAGCATTAAGTCACTTCTCAAAACATGAAAATATCAAATGCAGTCTGTTATCATTTCTGAGATCTAGATTTCAACATGCTTGTGTTCATACCTGGTGTAAATGCCGTCCAGTATGCCCAAGCGGGCCTCAGAGGCCGGGACGTAAGAGCCCATCTGAGCCATAACACAGATCAGGGCCACCTGGCGGATATAGGAGCTCTTACCCCCCATGTTAGGGCCAGTGATTATCATAGTTCTCCTGCCATCACCCTGGAGGAGAGGAGAGGAGAGGAGAGGAGAGGAGAGGAGAGGAGAGGAGACTAACAGTGACATAGACAGCAGGCGAGGAGAGAGACAGAATAAGATATTTGCATGCTGTCCTGCACAGCTGAGGAGGTGGGTGGATTGAAAGCTTGGCTCCTCTTCCTATTGGCTTGTGCCACTGTTGCAAAATTAACCTACACCCACTCCAGCACTGAGCGAGGAAGTGTGTGTGGTGCCATGCGAGTCTGTAAGTGTGTGCATCATGTGTGTATTTATGAGCATGTGTGCTGTTACAATTTTGTTTCAGAAGTGTCTCAATGAGTTAGTGAGCAAACGTTTGTGTGTGTTTTGGCTCGACTTTGTTCAAAGCGCTCTGAATGAGCCCATGTGTGCGTGTGTGTACCTGTAGTTCGGTGTGGTTGGGCACATACTGGTTGTGCTCTCCCATCAGTAAGTCGATGGCAGGATGTCTGCCGTCTCTGATGACAATCTGACACTGCCCTTCACACACCTCTGGCCTGAACACAGAGAACACACTTGTGAGTTAAAGCAGGGTTTCCCGCACATTTTTTTTTTTTGTGACGGCCCTCCACAATATTGCCATTTGCTGCCGTGTATTGATCTTCTATTTTTGGAGCTGGATCGTTAATTTGGAGAACTGTTGGAATATATATATATATATATATATATATATATATATATATATATACCATTCAGTTATTTAGGGCTCCACACTCCCCGGACTAGACTAAGCAGCAGAATGCTACTTGCAGTCAAAGTTAAATTAACATTTAATACTTCATATAGAAGCAGAATGCTTTATTTGTTCAAACATCTCTCTTATTTTAGTGTTCATCTTTTTCCAAACTACTTGAGATGAACATGGCTGCGTTCCCATGGAAACTGCACACCCTGCACTCTGACGCTGGGTCTTAATGTTTGCTTTCACTCGCCTCTGCAGCATCTGCTCCTCCAACCTAACGCATCGATCTGATCAGCTCTGATTGATCCGACCACAAAACCGATCAATACTTCACCCTGCAAATCAAACTCAACAAACTGTTGCTGAGGGGAAAAAAAAACACTTATGAAAGTTCCTCCTGTGCTGCATTAACAGACCCAAAGACCCCAGAGTTCAGAGAGGGAACACAGAATGATCATAAAGGGACACAAAAAGGCTAACACACACACTTAACACATCTTAGAGAATAAAATAAGTCACCCAGAGGTCAGCAGCAGTAAATCTTGGCATTTCTTTCAAATGGATTTGGACTTGTAATCTTTATTTCCTCTTTTTTTGTGTCCGTTAAATTCGACTGTTGAGAGGATAGGAGTATATTTTGTGGATCACATTCAGTCGCCTTGTGTCTGAGGCTGAAATCATTTTATGATAAACATTTTATGATAAAGATATGTCTAAGTAAAGATATTTACTTCACTTAAACAACACACCCTGCTATCAAACATGACAGTAACAGCAAACAATATTTAACAGCACTGAAATTGGACTCATTCAAATAAAAAATACGAATAAAATAAAAAATAAAAACTTGCACTGAGAAAATATTTAGGTTTAAAATAAATAAATATGCCGCCAAGAAAACATTTACTGATGCTCTGCAAAAATCCAGAACACAGAAACTTAATCTAAGGGAAGCTTTTTCAACTGGAGCTACGAGCTTCGCCATTTTTCTCACAGCCTGTGGTTTAAGACAGGTGTGTATATATTAAAATCTATTTTTTCTGGGTGTCTTATCATATCTAGCCTGTCACTCTGTGATTTTAATAACTTGTTATCTTTTCATCAATGTCTATTTGTCTCACCTGTCATGCCATTATATGGGTCATGTGATGGCCTCTGATTGGTTCCTGTGATTATAAAGGTTGGGCCATGCCTGTGTTGTATGTTTTGAAAGCCCTAAAGAAGACCTGCAGTGGCTTAAAAATGTTGGTTCTTCTGATGATTTAGCCACTACAATAAAAGGTGTTTTTAATATTTCCATCCTTGTTTTTCTATTTTTACTATTAGCCTGGATTGCCTTCCTGTCGATCCTGCTGTTTCCCATTCTCCACGAGCACCTGACACAAGCTTTTGATCTACGTTTTTAAATACAGAGCAGCCACTCGTCTTTCTCTTTTTACACAGTTATACAATTTATCTGTGATAACCAGATATTGGCTGATAATATTAGCCTAATGATCTACTGGCCAGGCTCTACCAAAATAAACCAAAACACACACACATAAACTTGGATGCCTGCTTGTATTAAAGGAACAGTTCAACATTTTGGGAAATATGCTTATTGACTTTCTTGCTGAGATTTAAATGAGAGGACTGGCGCAGTAACTTCCTGACAAATACACTGCCAGGCAACCGGCAGAGACTCCAGGAAGTTTCTGCTCCCCGCCAAGAAATAGCCCGGCACATACTGTAACCCCCTCGTTAGACGACAACATGTTGTTTTTACACTTTACAGCCTTGGACGGAGCCAGGCTAGCTGTTTCCCCCTGTTTCCAGTCTTTATGCTCAGCTAACAGGCTGCTGGCTTAAGCTTCGTATTTACTGTACAGACATGAGTGGTACTGGTCTTCTCATCTAACTAAGCAAATATGTTTATTTTTTCACAAAATGTCAAACTATTCCTTAAAAAAAACATATTTACATGCAGGGAACATGGAAAATTGAGTGACTGGCAAAAAAGAAAACGATTTAAAGAGAAGCAGTGCGTGGGATGAATTAAATGTCCAAATACAGCAAAAAAGAGGGACAGCACACGCAGACGAGGATGGATGTGAAGCTAAAATACTAAAATTGGTAGAAATGGACAATTTAAAGGTGTGTGTGAATTTGTGTGTGTGTGTGTGTGTGTGAGTGAGTGGGAGAGATGTTGGCGTTTTGGCTGAGCACGCTGCTGAGCCCGGTGCACACTCCCACACACAGCCTGTCTGAGAATATAGGACACGACACAGGACGCCCACATGCACACTATATCCCACACACAAGTACAAACTCACACGCAACAGGCGCACACACATGCACCAATATTTACATTCGTCATGAGAGGACATCACCTGCAATAGTCCCCTTGTTTAGCCACCTCAGCCAATGAAAAGAGACAGTCCATGGTTGCTAGGTGACTAATAGCCCTTTTCATGGTGTGATAGTGCTCCCCAAACTGGCTGCGGAGAGAGAGAGGGAGAGAAAAGAGATTTTCAAGTGTAAATTAAGGTAAGTGCATACTGTGCTCTGAGCAGACGGCACTGACAGCGTACTTGACCAAAACAGACTAATTCTGGCAGGCTGAGAGCTGTGCCGGCATCTCTCTCTACCAGAGACTGACATGTTTTTAGCAATTTTCCTTCGAGTTTAGGACCAGCTGTGTGTGTGTGTGTGTGTGTGTGTGTGTGTGTGTGCGTGCATGTGCGTGCGTGTGTGTGTGTGTGCATGTTATACTCGAGGAAATTGGTCCACTCTCTCTGGCAGTCCAGCAGCAGCTGCTCTCGGAGCTGCAGCAGCTTCTTGTAGCGCTCCACCAGGAACGGAGAGTGATACCTGCTGACTGCCTTGGTGCTGCAGAGGAGGGGGAGGTGAAGGAAGCAGAGAAAAAAATGCATAACATGTCACATCAATCATTATTTATTTATGACTTCAGTTTACTGAATTTCAAATATTCAACAACACCAAACCACCTGAAAAGGAAAAAAAGGTAAGGAAAGGTAAGGAAATATAGTAAAGGTAAGGACTGACTTACACTAATAGATATAATAGAACCCATACCACTGTTAAATGTCCATAACAGGTAAGTGTCAAAATAGTGTTCCTGTAAATATTTCCTCCCTCTGGCTGCGCCATCGCCACATCCACCCTCCTGCACTCATTACAATCCCAACAAGAGCTGTACGCACTACTGATAACATGTCTTTGTATGTTTACAACTACACATAACATTTTGTAACAAACATATCAATATACGCACACCATGTATGTTATGAGCCTGGTGCTTAGCAAAATCAAAATCAAAATCACACCCCCCACTCAGACAAGTGTGTTCACTGGCCCCCCTGTAGTGAGTGGAACCGCAGTAACATTCCCCATTTATTATTATGTTATTCTACCTCATTTATTAGGCTATGAGGTATTTTCTCAAAAGCTGCCACCTTGCTCATTTCTGAGATCCATTCTTGAAATAATGGGCCCTCTACAGCTTTCCAACTTTCTCATTATCATCTGTTTACCAGTCATAATACTTGTCTGAATCCAATGTGCTGGGGGTTTTATAATGTGGTCAGTAGGTTGAGGATTTTCAAGAATGTATGCACCACGACTAAAGTCATAATCTACCCCTGCGACCTCTGTGATGTACTCATGGACTCTGATCCAAATGGCCTGTACTTTTGAGCATGACCACAGTGCATGGACTAAGGGTGCTTTCACACCTGCCCTGTTTGGTTCGGTTCAATCGAACTCAAGTTGGTTTGCTACCTATGTGCGGTTTGTATGGGCAGGTGTGAACACAGCAATAGCACTCAGGTGTGCACCAAAACAACCGAGACCTTCTTGAAGAGGTGGTCTCTGTCTGGTTACAAACAAACTCTGGTGTGGTTCGTTTGTGGTGAGAAAGTGTTCCGACCTCGATCCGAACCAACTGTAGTCACATGACACATTGTTTTGGTTAAACATGAGCATGTTACAGTCCTGGAGGATTATTAATGTGCACCTCCTGAACAATGACAGCAATATAGTCCAAAAATGAGCAGCGCTAAAATCAACCTGTGTAGTTGTCCCTCCATTGTGACATTAGAAAGTGTTGCATTTATCTTGCAAGTGTACTCTCCTTCAACATTTTTTTTTACTTCCTAACCTCCGTGATTTTATCCCACTCATCTTCTTTAAAGGTTGTGTCCCAGTCCCTTTCCCACTGCATTTTCAGAGCCGAGGTGAACTTGTAACCAGACTTGTAGTAGTGAGAAGCCCCATGTCCTGTCTCTGCAATGTGCAATATGATCTTCACATCAATCATAATTCAGGAAATGATGCCATATACTGAGCTTCAACAAGTGCTGAGGCCGCCATATACCAACTGTTTCGTCTCGTGCCTCCTTAAAACAAAGCCACTTGTTACACATAGTCATCAGCTGCATTATGTCCATGGATAAGGACTACGTCAGCCGCAGAGTTAAGTAAAATAATCCAGCAGTTTGCAAGCAAAAAAACGCGAAGATGAAAATAAAATTTTGAAAATAATTATCCATCTATCCATATTCTGTAACCACTTATCCTCTTAAGGGCTGAAGGGGGGCTGGAGCCGATCCCTGCTGACATTGGGCGAAGGCGGGGTGCACCCTGGGCAGATCATTAGGTTAAAGCAGGGCCGACAGGTTCATGCTCACATACACACCTGTGGGTTATTTGGAATCAGTGCTAACCCGCATGCCTTTGAACAAGCCCTGTTGACACGAGGAGAACATGCAAACTCCACACAGAAGGGCCCAGGATGGCCGGCGGGTTTGAACGTGGAACCCTCTTGCTGTGAGTCAACAGTGCTTACCACTGCACATAAAGCATATGCATCTTTTTTCCCGTATTCTGTTAATCAGTTATCTACCCCTGTAGTTCTCTCATATATATTGCATGCCTTGGGATGGAGCCACTCCCCAGGAACACAGTGAAGGTTTATAATATGAGAAAATTAATCCATGATGAAGTAAGAAGATAATATAGTGGGGGCAGAAAACATCACAAGCAGTTAAGGGGGAGAGTGGTTTCCCCTCCTGAGTCCACTATTTTCAACACCTCATAGGTGTTGAAAACTTTGACTTAAATGCCTTTTCCACCACAATAAGCCTGTGTATTTGTGTTTTTTTTAAATGCGGGATAACCCTGCTTTTCCTCTGCCAGTAGACCAGAGCAACACACTTTGACTCCATCAGCACACCTTAAATTTCAATGTGACAACTTAGACCCTTACTTTTTAGTTTTTATTGTCTCTCTTGGATGATACAAACACTTAAAACAACGACTAGTTCCTCAAGTGTTTAAAAATATATCTTCATTTCAACCAGATTATGTGAACTGTATATATCCCAATCCTCAGTCGGAGAAAAAAAAAAAAACAATTGCGGAGTGTCGTTCCTGTGGGCCGTGGCAACACTAAACCCCCCAGCTTGCCTTAGAAGAGCTAAATGCACAAACCTGCTATCTTACTGTATAATGACAAAAACTCTGTGTGTCTGTTCCACGTTTTTCTCCTCACTGACTTGGTCAATCCATGTGAAATTTGGCACAGTGGTAGAGGGTCATGGGAGGATGCGAATGAAGCAATATTACATCAATTGGCCAAAGGAGGGCGCTATAGCAACCGAATGAAATTGCAAATTTGAATGGTCATATCTCATGCCCCGTATGTCGTAGAGACATGAAACTTTGCACAGAGATGCCTCTCCTCATGAGGAACAGATTTGCCTCAAGAACCCATAACTTCCGGTTATATAGATTTTCCGCCATTTTGAATTTTTTGGAAAACACTTCAAATTGATCTCTTCCTAGGAAGTTTGACCGATCTGCATGAAACTCGGTGAACATAATCTAGGGACCAATATCTAAAGTTCCCTCTTGGCAAAATTTGGAAAACTTACTAAAACTGAGCTTCTATAAGGTAATGAATATTGCGGAGGGCGTGGCTCATCACATAAAGGTGTATAACATCTCAATGGTTTCACCGATCACCACGCAACTTTGTAGGCATATGACCACACATAATCTGAGGGGACCCCTCCATTATTGACCCCATCAAACAAAATGGGGGCGCTAGAGAGCTAATTTCTTATCTAGGCCTAACCGCCATATCGACTTTTACTAAACTTGGTAGATATGTAGAACAGGACACCTCAAGGTGACTGGAGAAATTTAACTGTAATTGGCAACTAGGTGGCGCTATAACAACAGAAAAGCGCTTAAAAATGGCTAAAATGCGACCGATCGCTGCGGCTCCCCCTGTGGCCCATTGTTTGTTTTTTCTTCTAATTTTTGGTATGACTAAGTCATGGCATGGTATGGTTACATAATCACGGAAACTGTCAGTGTGTCATTCTGTCAGTCAGTCATTCTGTCTGTCGTGGTCAATCTATGTGAAACTGCACATAGGCATTGAGCTACCAATGGGTATGGACTAGTTTGTAAATGTCTGATGGGTTACTTTTTGTGCCAGAGGTACCATACCAAAAGTGTTTGGTGGAAACGGGGCTTATGTTAATCCGCTAGTCAGCTAGGGGCTTTGTCTACCTCCTGTTTGGTAGTAAAGTTGCAGACCTAAAGCCAAAACAACGAACTGAAACACAATGAACGCTGCATAAAGCTGAGGGGATCATTAAAGTCAGGTGATATTTCTCAATGACTTCATCACTATGATTGACCTTTTTCATATTACACATAGTCTATTGATCCATTATTAATATAAAAACTATTGATAAGTGCAGCTTTAAACCATCATAGGATTAGTTAGACCAGATCACCTGGTAGTATAGTCTAAAACAAATACTGTTGCTATGGTTACCTGTCGTTAAACACACCATTGCTTTTCGGTCATTCGTGTAGTAATATATATAGATTGTTTTGACCTCTTGCTCCCACTGTGTATATGTTTTGGGGTCTGCTTTTGTCATGGAAACGTACTGTATGTATAAAAGGTGGTGTCTTGAATTCATATAGAATTCTAACATTCACCTGAACAACCAGTCAGAAACATTTATCTTCCATTATTCTGCCATCATATATCATATATTGAGATAATTAGAAATGTAAAAAGGTTTTCATTACAAACTTTCTATCGTCAGTTTTTTAGAGGCATGTCTCACTCCGCATTTAACCATTCAATGAAAAAATAAATTTCCTCAGAATTATGCAGCTAAATCTCTGATGACACTTCTACAAAAATAATTCAAATTCACTTGGTTCAGAGGTGATTTTAACACCGTGGAGCAAATTTTAGTCAGTGCCACTATTATATAATTTTAGAAAAACTGACTGTGTCTGTGTGTGTTTGTCTCTAGTGTGTGTGTGTGTGTGTGTGTGTGGGCTGCAACTGTGAGCTCACCTGCTGATTTTGACCCAGTCAGGTGGAACAGTGGACGACAGCGAGTTCTTCACCTCAATCAGAAACTGAGGGCAGAGGAGGAAGACGAGGAGGAAGACTTTGATAAATAAGACGGGAGCAGACGGACAAAACAATGTGTCACTCTTGATTAAAACTGACACACACACACACACACACGGACATCAGATCATCACTGTGACTCAGTCTTCCACCCGAATCAGGCCATCAATCTCCTCCCACCTGTCTTTCACTCTCAGCCTCAAACACACAGTTGGTACCTCCTGTCCAGAGACGGTGGTGTAGTCCAGCGCAGGTGCCTTCAGCGTCAGTCGGACTTCTTTGCGGTGGTCTTGAATCTCGTTGAGGACGGACTGGATCTGCTCCCTCCTTTCCTGCAGCACTGGGAAGCCAGACAGATCTGAGAACAGCTCTGTCTTATTTCCAGACCTCCACAAACACAGAAACACAGTCCAAATGTGATGGCAGCTTACAACAAATCACCGTACACATCGAAGCAGCTTGTTAAGGAGGACGGACACACAACATAGGAGAGTTTCTGAGACATGAACAGTCTATTCAGGAGCAAAAACTGGAGGGAGGGAATCACTAAAGATCCTTGGAGCTCCATGCCAACTGTTGATGGTTACATGTTCAGGCCTATTTCTGTGGTACTGTGGCCACTATGCACCTGTGTTTAACCATCAAACTGAATGAAACAAGTGACTGACTCCAATGAAATAACTGTAGAAGAGTCACAGAAGGGACACATATTTTTTTTCCATCAACATTCAGACATTTAGTGATTTACAAATCTTCATATGAAATAATAAAAACCAAGGTTTTCATGTGCGTAGGTGTGTATATGTCAGCTCCAGGATATGTTCACGTAAAAATATGTAAAATAAAGTCTTGACAAACGCTGCTGCAAGTTCTCCATTTCTTAATTTTGAGATAATGTTGATACAGTGCTATCACACATCAAGTTAATTAGCAAGACAATCTTCCCCCAAAACTAACTGTAGTATTTTAAGTCCTACACTGGTGCTAAAAAATAGTTCTTTAATTAATCAACAAACCTTTAATCAAGTTTTGATAATGGCAAAAATGCCAAACACTGTCTAGTATCTGCTCTGAAAATGTGACAACTGCTGCTTTTCTCTGTTTTATATTTGGGGTCTGAAGCATCTGAGACATTGTGGTGGGCATTTTTCATGTTTTTCTGACAATTTAGAGACTGTACAATCACTCAGTTAATTTAAAAAATGAATGTATTAATCCTTAATGAAAGTAATCCTTAGCTGCACACCTGCACTGCCAGACTACAGTGAGTGTATCCAACAAATCAGTTGCTCATTAAGCTTTGTTCACAAGCAGTAAGAAATCAGCTTTATCATTAAATCACTACATTTGATTCAGACTTGCACAGTACCTCTACTTGTGCCACGCCATCCCTCCTGTATCCAAAATATTGCCATGCATTTAGGCACCAGTTCCCTTCTGGCATTAGCACCTTAGCCTTCACTCATCTTGTCACACTTTCCTTCTTTAAATATGCAGAGTAGTATCGCAGCTCTCGTCTAAAACCTAACACCTACAGACAGAATGTCCGAGGATGGAGGGATATCGTACACTGTAACCATTGAGGGGATTTTAAAATTGAATATTAGTATATTCAAACTGCAATATCGCAGCCTCTCACAATGTGTTTATCGCTGTAAACAACATTGAAACACTGAAAGATCAAATATATCCACCTTATTCCAGAAGGTGCTACTGCAGAAATGATTATGGGTAAAACTTCCGGGGAGACAGTGGAAGCAGTTAGTCGCACTGTTTGTCTATGGTTAGTCTCAGTGGCTAATCTTGTTGGCTAGCTGTGAACGATGGCTCTTTTTGAAAGCCTTCAGTTTAGCAAATACTGCTTCATTTTAACAGATGTTAAACAAACATTAAATTAGCATTTTCTTAAACGTCCCTGTGGATCTCTAGTACCTGTTGTTCTGCCTACGTCTGTAACGTTTGGAACAACCAGACTAAGCTAAATTTGTTGCTTCAAAAACAGTGTCAAACATGCACCCAGAACAAAAGGGGATTGTTTCTCCAAGCAAAAGGTTGCAAGGTGGAAGTCGCACCCATAATTCATGCAAGGTAACATAGGGACTAGGAATAAAGTGGATGGAGCAGCCCTAATCGCTTCTCAGTTCCTCCTCTTTCACCTGGACACCTCCTCCACGTGCTGCTGGATACTCACTTGGCGGCCTTTTCATTGAGCACCTTGAGGTGGCTGTGGGCCGGAGCCAGCAGGTCAGGAGTGTCCAACAAGAGGCTTCGGAGCAACGCAGAGCTGATCTGTGACTGGATAGCTGGCAGCAAGGCCTGCAGTTCAAGCCCCAGGCGAGAGAGACTGCTGCTAATGAGGTAAAACTCCTGCGTGGAAGACTGGAACACACACAGAGAGAGGGAGATATGCAGAATATTTAACGAAGTGTACACAGGTGAGCAACAGCTGGTTAAAGTGGTAAATGAAGCTGCAGATGATTAGATGGTAACGGCAATTTATAAACCAGAAATAAAAAATACAGACTTTATTCTCCAACTAAATGCAAATCATTTTTTGTGTGTGTATATTAGGGCTGTCAAAAGTGTTGATACTTTGATACTTTTTCAATACCACATGTTTAAAAGGTTAAAAGGTTTTTTTATACTAATATTGTATCTGAGTGTAAAATTTTGGTATGGTGGCAACCCTAGTGTGTGTGTGTGTGTGTGTGTGTTACTGGGGGATTCTGTAAGCCAGCAAGATTAGAACACTAAATCTCATCAGCGCTGGGCATGGCAGCCAAGCTTAAAGAGCGACCATGTATTACAGCCAACACTGTGGTGACAGACACCACTCATTAGCAGCAGCACAGTCTGCAAGTCTTTACAATACAGCAGCAGGAATATAAAGCCCCCCGAAAAACTAAATATCACAGATGTTTTACTGTGAGACAAGATGCAGATACGGGATTTATTCAGAGTTTCAGCCGTTGTTATCCTCCGTCACTGATGCCAAATATCACCAAGACAAATGTGTTTACATGCTTCATCACTTTAAAATTAGGTGATGATCAAAGGCTGCCATTAATACTTTTTATTTTGTGTAGATTTCAGTTCTATTGGTTTTTGCTGACAATCCATAATATAAGAAATACAGCTGTCTGTATTCTAAATCAGAGCAGATACTGATTTATGTTTCCTCAAGGTGTACCACCCCAGTCAAACAGTGGCCATTTAAAGGTCCAGTGTGTAGAATTTAGTTGCATCCAGCGATGAGGTTGCAGACTAGGCGTAAAGCCCCGTTTCCACCGAACACTTTCACTGGGTGCGGTTACATGACGGCTTCTCATTCAGAATGAAATAAATCTGAATGAAATCATCCGGAATTAAAGTTTTTCAGGTAGTTTACATGGGAAATATTCATTTTGAATGAGGGTTTACATGGGAGATCAGTTTATTCGCCTTTATTCGGGTCTGCACAAGGTTTGGGGCAGGGAAGGTTTCTGATTGGATAGGGGGCGGGGCGGATGTTACGTGTTTACGTTTACCTGAAGAAAACACTGTAGTCCTTGCTCCGGATAACAAGATGTTTGACGACGCCGTTCTTAGTGCCTTTTTCAGGCATGCTTTGCTTATATTCTTGAAGCAGCAGTACGACAACAACCTTGTTCTACTAATGCTTCGTCTGCTGAGGAGGAGAAGGGAGGTAGAAGGTCGAAAAAGGGAGATAGAAGACCGTGCTTTGGCGTATGGAAACTGGTGAGTGCAACGAGTCTGACTGCTCTATCTCAGCCCGTTGCTATGCGCGCTATATACGTCATCGCGCCAGAAGGGCAAGGAAACAAGCATGCGCAGAAAGACTGGAATGAACTTAAAGAGGAATGAGCGTTTACATGCACACAAAATTCTTTCATTTGGAATGACAAACGGAATAAACCATCTCCTTTAATCAGATTTAATTTTCAATCGGAATTACCACTTTTAATCGGAATGGCCTTTCATTCCAAATGAAAGTGGAATTAAACTGTCCATGTAAACGTACTGAGTATGGTACCTTTGGAACCAAAAGTAACCCTTCAGACATGGTACCTAGACCCTAGCATTTCCACTGCAAACAGTACTCTTAAATGTGGGCGGGGGTGTTGTCACTCACTGCTCCGTCCAACACTCACTGTATTTCCTCATTACCAGTGACACAGATGGAAGTCTGCACCTTGTTTATCGTCCACAGAATGAGGCTGCATGCTGACATTTTCAGAACAAAATAAAACAGGCTACAGTGAGAGTCTCTCTCCATGCAATATTTAAAAATAGCAGGTTTGTGCATTTAGTCCTTCTCAGGCAAGGTCAGGGATTTAGTGCTGCTGTAGCCCACAGGAGCGATGCTTCACAATGCTTTTTTTTTCTCCAAACTTTTCTCCGGATTAAAATACATGCTGTTCACATAATCCAGTCGAAATTAATACATATAAACGCTTGAAGATCTACTCATTACTTAAAGTGTACAGTACAGGCCAAAAGTTTGGACACACCTTCTCATTCAATGTGTTTTCTTTATTTCCATGACTATTTACATTGTAGATTCTCACTGAAGGCATCAAAACTATGAATGAACACATGTGGAGTTATGTACTTAACAAAAAAAGGTGAAATAACTGAAAACATGTTTTATATTCTAGTTTCTTCAAAATAGCCACCCTTTGCTCTGATTACTGCTTTGCACACTCTTGGCATTCTCTCCATGAGCTTCAAGAGGTAGTCACCTGAAATGGTTTTCCAACAGTCTTGAAGGAGTTCCCAGAGGTGTTTAGCACTTGTTGGCCCCTTTGCCTTCACTCTGCGGTCCAGCTCACCCCAAACCATCTCGATTGGGTTCAGGTCCGGTGACTGTGGAGGCCAGGTCATCTGCCGCAGCACTCCATCACTCTCCTTCTTGGTCAAATAGCCCTTACACAGCCTGGAGGTGTGTTTGGGGTCATTGTCCTGTTGAAAAATAAATGATCGTCCAACTAAACGCAAACCGGATGGGATGGCATGTCGCTGCAGGATGCTGTGGTAGCCATGCTGGTTCAGTGTGCCTTCAATTTTGAATAAATCCCCAACAGTGTCACCAGCAAAACACCCCCACACCATCACACCTCCTCCTCCATGCTTCACAGTGGGAACCAGGCATGTGGAATCCATCCGTTCACCTTTTCTGCGTCTCACAAAGACACGGCGGTTGGAACCAAAGATCTCAAATTTGGACTCATCAGACCAAAGCACAGATTTCCACTGGTCTAATGTCCATTCCTTGTGTTTCTTGGCCCAAACAAATCTCTTCTGCTTGTTGCCTCTCCTTAGCAGTGGTTTCCTAGCAGCTATTTGACCATGAAGGCCTGATTGGCGCAGTCTCCTCTTAACAGTTGTTCTAGAGATGGGTCTGCTGCTAGAACTCTGTGTGGCATTCATCTGGTCTCTGATCTGAGCTGCTGTTAACTTGCGATTTCTGAGGCTGGTGACTCGGATGAACTTATCCTCAGAAGCAGAGGTGACTCTTGGTCTTCCTTTCCTGGGTCGGTCCTCATGTGTGCCAGTTTCGTTGTAGCGCTTGATGGTTTTTGCGACTCCACTTGGGGACACATTTAAAGTTTTTGCAATTTTCCGGACTGACTGACCTTCATTTCTTAAAGTAATGATGGCCACTCGTTTTTCTTTAGTTAGCTGATTGGTTCTTGCCATAATATGAATTTTAACAGTTGTCCAATAGGGCTGTCGGCTGTGTATTAACCTGACTTCTGCACAACACAACTGATGGTCCCAACCCCATTGATAAAGCAAGAAATTCCACTAATTAACCCTGATAAGGCACACCTGTGAAGTGGAAACCATTTCAGGTGACTACCTCTTGAAGCTCATGGAGAGAATGCCAAGAGTGTGCAAAGCAGTAATCAGAGCAAAGGGTGGCTATTTTGAAGAAACTAGAATATAAAACATGTTTTCAGTTATTTCACCTTTTTTTGTTAAGTACATAACTCCACATGTGTTCATTCATAGTTTTGATGCCTTCAGTGAGAATCTACAATGTAAATAGTCATGAAAATAAAGAAAACGCATTGAATGAGAAGGTGTGTCCAAACTTTTGGCCTGTACTGTATGTCATATAAAAACTAAAGTAATGGTCAAAGTTGTCATATTAATTATTTAAGGTGTGTTGATTGATTCACGCTGTCAGCTCGTACACTGAGTAACATTACAATGTTAACGTTCCACCTAAAAGTTGTTGGCAGTCGGCCCAGTGAGTGAAGTTATTTTTTCTCCAACTCCAGCTGCTGCAAGAGGCAGCAAAACATCCTTTCATTTTATAGTTACAGTCTATTAATAAAACTCTCCACGGTATGAACAGTGGTTACATGAGCCTAAAAACCAGCCACAACTCAGCCCTGAGCAGAGTGACCCTTTGCTACTGACCAATCAATGGATAGTTGTGTTCACAGCTCCACCTTTTAGTACCAGATCTGTGTGCTAGGTACCCCAACAGAATGGAATGGTTCCATTGGTACCATTCACAACTTTTTGCAGTGGAAATGGGAAAAAAAACGCAAATGGTCCTATCTAAAACCAGTGTTTGATTTGTCCATTCTAGGCTACTGTAGAACAACATGGCTGACTCTGTGGAAGAGGACCAGCTCCATATGTGGATAAAACAGTTCATTGTAAGGTAACAAAAACACGGTTCATATTTTCAGGTGATTAAACACTAATCAAAACATAGTTATGAATATTATAGACCACCTCTGCCGATAGACATCCCTGAATCCTACACACTACACCTCTGAGATGAAATTCAGTTGATGATTAATTAATGCTCCGCATGGAAATACCTCAGAAGAGAGTCGATGTCGTGGATTACATCGACTTCACATTCCCATTAGTGATGTCACAGAACAGTACCAAGTCATGAAAGGTTAATGAGAGTCACCCTGACAATGGTTTATGGCATTAATCACATGCTGTAGTTTTAATGGTCCCCTGAGATGCTCTTTCATGAACCCAAACAGACAGTGACTGGAGACCAGTATGTCCTCCTTCCCATTATGTCAACGGAGCCATAGAGACACAGGCCATTACACACAGGCACATTTATCTACAGATGGGCAAAATGACAATTAAGGCCCCTGTGTGTGTTGTGCATGCGTGTGTATATTTGTGTGTGTGTTCAGTGACATTTGATCGTTTTCTTTTAACAATATATGAAGGAGTCAGAAAGTTGATCATGAGCTCAGAGCAGAGTGCCTCTCTCATCTCTGTAAAACACATACACATGCACACACACAGGTGGGATGAAGCCTTCTGACATTTCAAAAATGGGTCCGATGGGAAATGAGATTGTGTCAGACAATCAGGTAAGTGGCACCGAGGCGACTGCTCCCTGTTGTTAATCATGACGCACGTCATAAAAGAGAGAGACGGAAACAGGGGGAGCTGAAATTGTATTGGTTTTCATTATGACACAAAGAGCAGGAAAAGGGAGATCTGCTTTTTTTTTTTTTACTGCCTTTATCAGAGGGTTGTAGTTTTTGATTTTTCTAACAGATCTCAGCTTCACAAGGTGAGTAACATGTTATCATAATTGAAAGGAAGGATCACTAGTCCTGCAAGGAAAAGTCCAAGGTTGTGAAAAAACGATCATATCCAAGGGGTAAGACGTGTTTCTGTGTGTGCGTGAATTATAATGCTTTTTTTATTTTACCTTTTTGTGGTATATGCTGCAGATGCCTCTCTCCAGGTCGGGCAAATGCGACAGCAGGGATTTGATGGAATTTAAAGTGGGAGAGTGTGACTCCAGGATCTCCTGCACAGCATCCTGCCTCTCTGAGATAGACCTGTGGGTTCATGATAGAAAAGGAAAGTAAAGAGTAATGAAGGAAGGCAAAGAGTCGAAGAAATTAAAATGTTCAATCTCAGTCATCAGCAAAAAATAAGTTCTTCTTTGGGGAACTGAATTGGACTTGATTGAAACAACTGCCAAATTGCCACTGATTCATAGATTCTGTGATGAGCTGGCGTTCGCCGGTAGCCTTAACAACTTAAAGGAATTCTACATCCCCTTTAACGACCATTTGTGTATCGTTGAATTTGTGAAGAAATCTTTGATTTTTTTACTTGAACTTTGAACAAACACAACAACAAGATAGCATACTTAACTCACATATCTGCAAAGGTATTTAAACCAGGTAAAAAAAAACACAGGGGTGGTAATTACAGAATTACAGAGGGATTATGTGTGTCTTAGTGAGCTGTTGATCTGCAGGATAAATGACACAAAACAGAAAGAAATATTGGACCATTCATGTTGCTTCTGGAGTTTGGCTCATTTTACGAACAGTACTCAGTATGACCTCCCACAGTTGCTGTTCCTCATTATAAACCTCAGAAAGGTCGGAAGCTGAGATCATCTACACAAATGTTTGAAGCCACAGTCCCTCTTTTAGCTGAGCTGCATCCTTCCAGTTTGTTGTCATCAGTCTTTTAGCGGTCATGCATCCAGCTGTTACAATTTGTGCATTGTGATATGACCAGTCTCCTTTAACTGTATAACTCAAAAGACACAATGCTGGGTCACAGTGAACAGCGTAGCCAATCATTTTTCCCCGGGATTGTGTAACATTATCCCAGAAGGTTTTAATCTTAGGACCATACCATACGGTAAAAAGTGCCTTTATCTTGTTTGCAGAGCCAACAAAGAGTTAGAAACAAATATGTGAAGAAAAGATTTTTCTAACATGCCTCCACTGTGAATGCAGAAGCTTAATTTGAACTCATAGAGGTTGGAGTTTAACAACAACAACCATCTGTTAACAAACTCTCACACAACCCGACTTGTCCAGTCATGAGACTTATCAATGATCTCTTTAAGGCCAGACTCAGAGCTGCTGGCCACGTAGTTTGCTTGTGTGCTATTGTGTGACCTTGATGTTTAAAAGTCATACAGAAACACAAACAAACTACCAATCGAGGCAGTGGTAGATCAGCAGCTTCTGTGTTCAGCGAGGTAAAATTATCATTATTGTCAATGGAGTCTGGCTTTGAGGAGAGATAGGTTTCACTTAAAGTTCAGTACCTCATTGGAAGGGGTTGTCTGTCTGGAGAGTACTGAGACCTGAATTGGATTACACTGAGTCCGAGTTTATAAACAGATGTTTTAATACAGTTTTGCTGTTGTTAAATAGGTCCCCTATAACTTCAGCCCCATCCATCCATCCATTTTCATCTGCTTATCAGGGGCCATGTCACGGGGGCAGCAGGCCAAGCAAAGCACCCCAGACATCCCTCTCCCCAGCAACACTTTCCAGCTCCTCCTGGGGGACCCCTAGGCATGCCCAGGCCAGACGAGATATATAATCCCTCCAGTGTGTTCAGGGTCTGCCCCGGGGCCTCCTACCAGTGGAACGTGCCTGGAACACTTCTAACAGAAGGCACATAGGAGGCATCCTGATCAGATGCCCAAACCACCTCAACTGACCCCTTTCGAAGCGAAGCAGCAGCGAATCCACTCCAAGCTCCCTATAGATGCCCGAGCTCCTTACCCTATGTCTAAGGTTAAGCCCAGCCACCCCACAGAGAAAATTTGTCTGCTTGTATCCACAATCTCATTCTTTCAGTCACTACCCAGAGCTCATGGCCATAGGTGAGGGTTGGGGCGTAGATGGACAAGTAAATCAAAAGCTTCGTCTTTCAGCACAGCTCTCTCTTCACCACAATCTCATCTCATCCACACCTGGCGCCTTGCCGCTGGGGAGCTTTTTGACAACCTCAGCAACCTCTGCCAGGGATATGGGCGAGGGTTCCCTGAGTCGTCAGGCTCTGCCTCCTCCATGGTGGATGTAATGGCTGGGTTCAGGAGTTCCTCAAAGTGCTACTTCCACCACTTGACGATATCCCAAGCTCATCCAGATTTTTTACCATGGTTGGATTCTTCGTTTCATCGTGGAGGCATGTGAGAAAAACAGTTTGCTTCACAAATTCAGCGTAACACATGGTGGATGGTACAAATGGCCATTCAGGGGGTGAAGTATTCCTTTAAAGTCAACCATCTATGAAGGAAGTGATTATAGTGTTTTCTATAATATGTAAGATTTCTTCAGTTTGTATTTTTAATTAGTTTGCAGTACCTTAATAATATCCTTTCTGATGACAGATTAGAGGTGTGTTATTGGAGTATTAATATGTGTGTATTAGTTTAAAAAAAGTTTAAAAACAGATCCACTGAGGCAACATTTTCGTACTTTTTACAATGTGGGCAGCTGAAACATGAAATATTAGAGTATAAAGTGTTAAAAACAAGTGATGACCTGTGTCTAACTTACGCATAACCTGGTAAAACACATTCTACTAAAGACAGAGTAAAAATGTGGGAAAAAAAGCAGAAAAGTTGATCTGAGTTATGTAATAAAATGGACATCAAACTCACACTCAATCATGCATGTATGCCGTGTGCGTGTGTGTGCATGTGCATGAGTGTTTGTGTCGTGTGCTGCTGCACTGTGTGTCTTAGTATTAATGTGCCTGCGTGTAATCTGGGCTTTATTGATGTTGAAATTCTGTAGAGGAGCTGTCTGTATAATCTGAGCGCAGTGCCCAATCCACAGCGATAATCCCTGCACTGTGGGAGGGAGAGAGCATTTCACACACACACACACACACACACACACACACACACACACACACACACACACACACACACACACACAGAAAATAGTCATGCAATCAATATATGGATAATAACATTACACTGCGGAGAAGAGAACCTGAACAGTGCTGCGATAATATAACTGAGAGGTTGTTTGTGGCAGAAGTGCTATGAGTCAGTTTCAGTGTTTGTGTTCAAAGAGGTCGCCTCCAGAGCAGTTTTTGTGTGCGGTTTTACCCTGCAGTGTTTCTGAAAAGAAGAACAACTGCTCTGCTGGGGATAAAAATAAGTCAGTGTCCATATCATATAAGCTGTCTTACATCCTCTCTAACAATGCTGGCTTACTGATATGTGACATTGGAGAATTTATTATTTAAATTATTAACTGAAACATGAGAAAAAGAAATAATTTCATATGTGACTGTATCAAAATACAGTAATAGGGGTGTAGTGATCCACTGACATGATTGATATATCGATTCAATGATCAACGATCCAATATCATTGATGCAAAGTGAAAACATCGATCCATATTGTCATCTTAAGGATACTCTTTTATTTTGTATTTTAAGAGAAAGAGGATGAGGACTGCAATCTATACAGTGTCATCTTGTGATGAAACATCAAATATAACATTGCAGTCATTGTGCACTTGTACTTTTTGTCCCACTGAGACAACACAGTGAATGTATGATCCTGTAAGCATGGCCTAGTTTGTCCAAAGTTAGGCTTCAGGTCAGAGACACTGCTTTCTCTCAGGCTGCGTGCCTCCACTAGGACTGACAAACCAGAGGCTATCTGGTCAGTTCAATTCAGATCTTTACTATTCCACTAGAGGAAAATTTATTTGCAGCAAGGCAGCTTGAAAAATAACAAAAACACATCTTAATAATTACAAAATCATGTCATAAGTGGAGCTTTTTGGGGGGAGGGTTAACAGCCTTGGAATAACGCTGCATTCATGTCATATCAAAATGATTTTAATTACCATAATGATGACTGGGAGACTTGTGTTTTTCTCAATAATGCATAAGTGCATGAAAAATCACACACCAATGCACCATGTCGGCCAAAGTCTGTTGTTTCAGATAAATAAAAACTAAACGGTCAGTACACAGTATTTTTATCTACGCACAACTAATTTTGCAATCACACAACCATCTCGAGTTGTGTGATGAGGTAAACGCTTGCAGATCGTTAACACTGGAATTTTTCCCATCTCTACCAGCCATCCCAGATGATGGTAAGCAGCATAAGCACTGCCTGTAAGTCCAAATTCAGGGCGAGAATGTGCCCTCATCTTGGTTCTGTAATCCAGACGGCCTCACAGAGCAGACAAACTCCTGATGTTCAGATTTACTATGTGGCACTGATGGCGAGACTAGAGAAAGAAGCTATATCAGTTTAGCTGAACACTGACAGGAGGTCATAGGCTACTCTGTACTTACTGAGAGTCTGTGAGGGGCTGGCTCACCCACTTCCTCATCAGTCTCCTCCCAAACGGAGTGCGAGTATGGTCCAACACCCACAACAGACTGCCCTTCACACCACCATCTGTCTGTCGTCGAAAGAACACACAATCACAGAAAACACAATTTACACATGCACCATTTGAATGTGCCAAATTTCAGGAAAAGAAAATACATTATGATGTGCTACATTTAAGATGTGAGAAGGATATGGAAGCCACGAGGAGTCAGGTGAGGAGGTCTGAACTGAGCTTGAACTTCACATGTGACGCACATGCCACGGCAGCGGAGTCGTGCTGAACTTTTGAGCTGTCACCCATGCAAGCCTCACTAGTCACTGAACATCCTCTTGTGATCGGAGGAATGACAATTTAACTCACCCCTTAAATGTTGACAGTCCGCTGTACAACCACGACTGCAACCTGGTTTCTGCTAAGTTGCGGGGACACAATCTGGACAGTCCTGACATATATAAATATAAGTCACGAAAATGAAGACTCTGGGCTTAACTTAAAGCTATAATCAATATTTTAAAATATTGATTGTCGACACACCTGGATCATTGCTTTTACTTAAGGAAATACTGGAGAGTTTTGCCCTGGTTGATGCAAGGACACTTGGTCGAGTTTTCTCCCAAGTAAAGCCCACAACCTGCCTTTTAGACCCAATTCCCTCACCGTTTTTTAAAACATTTTATGGATTCTTTGAGGAATAGCTACTGTACATGGTGAATTGCTCTCTTCAGACAGGTGTCTTCCCGACCTCTTGAAAACGGCGGTGGTGAAGCCCCTTCTGAAGAAGAGCAATTTAGACCCCAACATTTTTAATAATTATCGACCTGTATCCAACTTACCATTTTTAAGCAAAATTTTAGAAAAACTGGTTTTTAACCAAGTAAATGATTTTTTAAATACAAATAACACTTTAGAGAAGTATCAGTCTGGTTTTAGGATGAACCACAGCCTTTTTAAAGATTTTACATGACATCAGGTACAATTTAGATAACCATAAACTCACAGTCTTGGTACTACTGGATCTAACCGCCACCTTCGATACAGTAGACCATCACATTTTATTAAATAGACTGAGGCACCTGGTCGGCCTTTCTGGTACTGTTTTTAACTGGTTCGTCTCTTACCTTACTGATCAACACTTCTTTGTAAGTATGGATACATGTTCCTCAGGAACCCATGAGATAAAGTGTGGGGTCCCCCAGGGGTCAATTTTAGGTCCAACTCTTTTTAATCTCTACATGCTTCCTCTGGGGGACGTCATCAGGAGGCACGGCATCAGCTTCCACAGTTATGCAGATGACACACAGTTGTACATCGCCGTGTCTCCTGATGACACAGGGCCGATTGATACCCTTTTAAACTGTATTTTAGATATCAAGTCATGGATGGCAGTGAATTTCCTACAGCTCAACCAGGACAAAACAGAGGTTTTAGTCATTGGTCCTGAAGGCAAGAGAGAGAGACTTTTACCAAAACTACAGGATTTTAAACCAACACAATCTGTAAAAAATCTGGGTGTGATTTTTGACTCTGAGCTCTGTTTTATTCCTCATATTAAAAACATAACAAATGTAGGTTTCTACCACCTTAAGAATATAGCCAGAGTCCGCCCGTTTCTCTCTCAGGCCAGCACGGAGGTGCTGATGCATGCTTTTATCTCCTGTAGGTTAGATTATTGTAATGCCCAGCTCTCTGGTCTTCCCAAAAAGAGTATCTCAAATCTACAATTATTAAAGAACTCAGCTGCACGAGTGCTGACAAGGACCAGAGGGCGGGAGCACATTACACCAGTTTTAAAATCGCTGCATTGGCTCCCCGTGCGCTTCAGGATCGATTTTAAGGTTCTTTTATTAGTTTTTAAATGTCTTAACGGTCTTCGGCCTTCTTATTTATCTGACCTGCTTTTACCATATCAACCCTCGTGGACCCTGAGGTCCTCCGGCACCCGCCTTTTGACCATACCACAAGTTAGGACTAAAACACACGGGGAGGCGGCATTTAGTTATTATGACCCCCAATTGTGGAACAGCCTGCCGGTGAACCTCAGAGCTGCAGAGACTGTCTGTTGATGTTTTTAAAAAGAGGCTCAAGACTCATCTCTTTAATCAGGCTTTTAACTGATCTCTTTATTTATCTATTTTAAATTCCTCTTATAATCGATTTATCTATCTATTATCTATTTTTTATTAATTTTTTATGTTCTTACCCTTCCTCTTTTTACGTTCTTATATTATTTAACCTTTATCTTTTGTTATTTTAGTTAGCCTATAGGTTTTAGTTTTGATGCATTTTATGTCTCTGTTTTAGATCATTCTTACCTAGCTACTAACTCAATTTTATGAGCTAAATAGCTTTTTGTTTATTTGGTTCTTTTTATACCTTTTATCCTATCTTACTGTTTTAGTCCCTCAGCTTTTAGCTGTGTGTGTGTGTGTGTGTGTGTGTGTGTGTGTTTGTGTGTATATTTACGTATCTATGTGGGGTGGAAGGGTTGGGTTTTCTCTTTTCTTTTTGTTTTCTGTTTTGGATCTTTGTTGTTTTTAACCTCTGTGAGGCACTTTGTGTTACTGTTGTATGAAAAGTGCCATATAAATAAAGTTGATTTGATTTGATTTGAAAATAACAGTGGCTTCTCTTGTATCATAGCATTACTGAACCCATCCTCCTCCACTGCACCACCTGCTCTTTCACCACCGCCCCGATAGAAACAAGCTCCTGAAAATCACCGGTATATCTTCTGAAATAATTGGCCTCCCCACCCCCACCCTGCCAGCCCTCCTTGACACTGCCACCACTCGCAGAGCACTGACCAAAGCACACAACCCCTGCCACCCCCTCAACCCGTGTTTCACCCTCTAACCCCTATGGCTGCAGATTCAGACAGCGACTCTGCAAGAAATCTCGCTTTGGGTGTAGTTTCATGCCCTCAGCAACTACTGCCTTAAAGAGCCTGGGGTCACTGTAATAGAGCTGTTGCTGTGATGTTCTTGTTTGTTTCTGTATGTTGCTTGTTTTGAGTGTTTGACTGTACAGACTGTGAAGCAAATTTCCTCCAGAGAGGACTATAAAGAATGGATCTGATGTCATTGACACTGCCCATATTTAGTCAGAAACCAAAGTATTGGACAACTTACTGAAAAAAACAAATGTCAGCTTCATGGTGGCACAAGAGGAAAAGCTGCCAGGCTCCTGAGGCTCTGGAACAATCTTCCCGAGGAAATCAAGTCAGCCGTGTCAGTGATCTCTTTTAAATCCCTTCTTAAAACCTACTTTTATCGGAGAGCCTTTCCTGATTTAACTTGGGTTTTAAGTTCATTTAAAGTGTATTTATCACTTGTTGTTGTTTTCATGTCTTGTCTGTTTCAAAAATTGACATGTAAACACTTTGTAACTGTTTTGAAAAATGCTCAATAAATAAAGATCATTATTATTATTTACCAGAAAATTTGAGAGAGCAGGCTGCCACACACAACTTAAAAGCAAAGATTAGACCCATTTTTTTTTTAAAAGGACTTGGTTTCAGCTCTGTAAAACATGCTGATAACACAGGTTTTCTTTAAGATATTTTTTAGGGCATTTAGCCTTTAATAGACAGGACAGGTAAGTTTGAAAGAGGGAGAGAGAGAGAGAGAGAGAGAGAGAGAGATGACATGCAGCAAAGGGCCACAGGCTGGACTCGAACCCAGGCCGCTGCAGCAACAGCCTTGTACATGGGGCGCCTGCTCTACCCACTAAGCCACCGACGCCCCGTTAACACAGGTTTAAAAAGAAAAACATTTAAATGCTGTGTTGCTTTAACGGGCAGCACTGAGAGACTTTACAGGCATGCAACTGACTGGCAGTTTGCTTATGACCTCCCTTCACACACTTAAGACTTGAGTCAAGAAGACAAAGTGCAGATGGCTCTGTTTGGCAATTAGTATACACACGAGGATTATGCAGTATGGTGCAGTGTGAACCATTTATCATCCAGACAGACCCCACCCTTTCATTACGCTTGACCAGTTTCCATGACTGCCAGCTGAGACGTGCTGTTACCTGATTGTTGAGGATCTCGAGGTTCCTGAGGGTGGCGGCACTGAGGGCCATATTCTGCGACTCACAGGACAGACGCCGGAATGAGCTGCACGGAGTAAAAAAGACTTATTAAAATACAGCTGCATAATGAAATGATCAATGAATCAATGGGAAGAGATGTAAAAATGTGATGATGGAATTAAGAGTGTGTAATTCTGTGAAGGAGATCACAGACAGGAAACTTCCTGTTGACGTTCACCTCAAAAATGTTGTACATGGTGAACAGAAGGGGCTAACAGCTGCATCACAAATGTGAAATAAATTATAAAACACATTGTGGTACATTCCTGTAAACTGTAAATCTAGGCTAGGGCTGCAACTAACGACTAATCTACTGATTATCCTTTTAGAAAAAGCCATTCATAATTTAGTCTGAGTAACATGAACAAAGGAAACCCTGCAAAATCTCTCATTTACGAAGTTGGATGTTTGGCATTTTTTACTTTTTTTCTTGAAAAATGACTGAAATGATTCATCAGTTATCAAAATGATGGACAATTATTTTTCTGTCAATCAACCATGTGATTAATTGACTCATCATATTAGCTCAACCCAGGATTTCAGCGACCAGTAGAAATCCTGGATAATTGCGCAGTGCAAAGCATGTGTGTGTGTACCTTTCACTCCTGAGAACTCTTTCTAGGTTGAATTCTTGGAGGTAGAGGATGAGCGGCCCCAGACAGCAGATCACTGGGCTCTCCAGGGATGCAACACTTGACAGAGAGCGAGAGCCTGGAGGGCACAGACACACAAACATGCCACATTTTACAGATAAAACACAGCCATGACTCACAGGCCCACTCCTCAGACACATCCAGCGCGTTACAGCTGAATGGCTGTCCTAGTCTCAATGGACCTCATTCACCATTAGTTCTCTCTTAAAATCATTCTTAAAAAAAGGTCAGAAGAAAAGTGTGTGTCAGATTTATGATGTTTTGGTGAATGGCAGAATTGTTTACACCTGTGTTCAGATACTGATGAATCCCACTGTCCTCATAAACTGAAAGTGCGTGTTGGTCCTAATTGGCATAGGTAAACATCCTGTAGATAAAAAGGCATGAGACTGCATGGCTGTGTGGACACAGAAATTGAAGAAGAAGCAGAAGTAAAAGAAGAAGACAAAAAATGTCCAACCTAAGTGTAGAGCACCGGATTCCCCCCGGTGTCAGTAGTGGATTTAAGATACCACAAAAAGATGCGTGAGATGTTAAAAATATGTGTTAATCAAGCACTTGACTTGCAAACCACAACCTTAATGCAATGTAGTAGCACCATTGTCAACACAGCACGCTCCAAGGTGGAAGGTGGACTATTTCACGCAATGTTTCTGTAAGTTATCAATAACTAGGAATGCTGCTTGTCACTTTTTGTCCCGCACATCCGAACGGCCTGTGATATTTTCTGGCGTGATAAGTTAGCATTACAGAGATATCAAATATTCCTCTTAATACCTCCCCAATGTCTGATGAGGTGGACATGATAACCCTTCATACACATAACGTTATTCATCGCTACAACAGTAAATACTTTTTCTCTAACCTGATATGTAGTGTGTGCTGCTCATGTGAGCATTTTTGATGAGCGCCTCCGTCCAGTTCTTTCATCTCATCACATTTAACCATAGTTGTCTTTGTTTCTGTTGACGGGCAGTGGCGGCTGGTATGCGTTAAATTTAAGTTTTGAGCCATGACTCCTTCTATTCTGGCTCCCAATAACACAACAAGACGACATATTCAGACTCCTACGTAGCCTACAGCTCTGTAGTGGAGAGACGTGTTTTGCCTCCAGCTAACAAACTGACATCATCGTGACATCGGCCCTAAAAGGGTCTATAAATTACAAAAATATAATTGTAATTTAAATTCTATAATATTTTACAACTGTAGAATGTAAACACATAAACCAATTATTTCACACAAACATGTCAGCACAAAATGTGCATACGTGTGCTCAAGTGTATGTAGATTCTGTTTTTATCTAAGAACAAATCCCAAATAAGAAAACACTAGTGCACATCAGAATCTTGGCAAAACTGTGTAAGTGGCTTTTTAGAAGAAGTTTCTTCTTTAGAATGGTCAGTGAATGAGGCCCGAGAGTGTGTGAGTAACTGAAGGGAGTATAGAGTAAAAGACTGAAAAGAAAAGAGGCACATAGTAGCACAGACAAACACACCTTTCTCCTGGGTGTGGCAGTAGAATTCAGTGGCTGTGTTCATTGCAGAGGCGAACTCAAACTGAGCGCTGTCCCTCTTCTCAACTCTCACCCGGTCATCAGCCTGAGCGCTGGAGGGGAACAACATGACAGCACTGATTCAAGAGGTCAGTGGGGCCTGTGACTGTACGCACAGACGAACGAAGGAAACACAACATCCCATATCTGATCGTTTTCCTGTCTGTGAGAAAAATTAGACGCAGTCGCACCGCATGTTCAAACACACACACACACACATAAACACAGTTTCCCTGAATCTCCCTACTGCTCCATTCACTCGCTCGGTGTTGCTGCTTTCAAGGACTCGTCGCTTTGTCCGCTCTGTTGTTGCCAGGGCAACCAAGGCAAACACGTGGCTCTGGACGCAGTGCTGGAGCATTTTCTTTCTTCCGTTTCCTAATGCTTATACACACACACACACACACACACACATAGAATAATCATCATCTCTCACTCCAGTCACTGGTCAGACTGGGAGCAAAGATTGTATAAAAGTGATCAATAGACCGTATATTGTGCCAGAGGTGCAACTACGACCATTAATCATTTAACCAGTCAATTCAGCCATATTATGAGGTTTACAAGAACAGCAACAATTGCTGGTATTGATCCAGGAACAGAAGGGTGCAGCCTAGCATCTCTGCAAAACCCTGACAAGATATAGCATTATGAACCTGGGGTTTCTCAGCCGTCACAACAATGAAATAACGTTTCAACAAGAGTCAACAGCGATGTTAGCTGCTTTCCCTTTTATAGTACTTGGGTTTGGTTCATCACTGCAGATGTGTAGTGGTGGGTGCGTCACATTATGCAGAGTTTTTCGTGCTTTTTTTCAAATGCTCAGAGAAATGTGATGCTGATAATCAATCAAAATCAGGGTTAAAGGTTAAGTCAGAGATGTTGTGACCCAGAGAGCAGAGGTCAATATGCACAACAGATTGAGGCGCTCTCTAAGTATCTATGGCCCTGTTTACACCAGGTGATAATGTGCCTCCTGGGTGATTGGATCGCAAGTGGCCACATTCTTTCAGCGGTGTGTGCGCTAATTAGAGGTGGGCGATTTAACAAAGTAAGTGATATAGTTTTACTTATTAACCAGTTTGCCTTCAAATAATAAGTAAAAACTAAACAAAAATGATCTCTGAACAACAACAAAAACAAAAGTAACTCAGAGTGAGATTCAGATTCTGTATACAATATTAATAGTTCAACAAAATAAAATCTACCACAAATTGAATTGTTTTTTTCCCACCTGGACCTTTATGCTCTGCCATTTCTCCTCTAATCATCACGCTGTAACCTGTGACAGGCTGTTAGGATACCACAACTATCACACATTCACATTTATATATTTTTTTTCTTGAGCCGCAAGGCACATAGGTTTAATCACTTGACTCCTGTGTGTGCATGGCAAGAAAGGAGAAGGAGAGACACTGTGCTGCTGCCGGAGGAGTCGCTGAATGAGTTCCCTCTGCAGGGAGGGTAACTCGCCGTAACTCGCTAAAAGAGTCTGACAAGTTCTGGGCTGTTAATACAACATTCAGGACGCCACAGTTTACTCCACACTACTGAAGCTGACATGACATGACAACAGTATGTCAACAGGTCGAAATATCACAAGTATCACGATATGCATTTTTCATATGATATTAAAAATTATCTCAATATTATCGTGAACGTGATGACACGGCACAATCCTAGCGCTAATGTGTCCTTACTGCTTTGAGGGACAGCCTACTCAGCTGACAACATTGCTCATCTGACACCCTACCAGATTAAAAAAAACCTGGGTGTTAGTTAGTAGTTGCACTGACACAGAGGTGAAGGACTGTGTGCAGCTGTTAAACGGTCCCAGCAAACTCACATCAACAGGGAAACGGCTAGACTTAGTTGTTGAACCCATTAATAACCGTTAGGTAATGTTAGCCCTGTGATGCTTACAGTTAGCCCTGTCACTGTGTGTATGCAGCTGTGCAGATTCTCACCAACTCACCCCAGCGTGGAGCTCACACTCATGCAGCAGTAGTCTCCTAGCTAAGTTTGTCTCATGATAAACAAAGACAGAGAGAAGCCCCTTTCCCACTGCACAAAGAACACACTTAACATCTGGCTTCTTTAGTCAGTGGGAAATGTTATATTGGCAGGTCTGATTAGCTTTTATTAGCAGTGATTAAACTATGACCAGGTGGATGTGCTAGTTTTAGCCCCTTTGCTAGCTGTGGTCCACTGGCAATGGAAAACGATTTTTAGTGGCAAATCCCGGGTTTAACCTACGTACATGCACTAATTTTGGTGGACAAGGGGTAAGAGGGAGAGAGGCAAGGATGGGTTGCCAATCAATAGGCTGTGCACAACCCTACAATTAAATAAGATTTTATTCATTTCAAATAGTAAAGGCTGTAAGTGTGCATTTAGCACGACAAACCACCCGCTAATTAATAAAAAAGCATTTGCTCTGTGCAAACAAAAATAATGCAGGTGTTTATTTGCATTTGGAGCGGGGAAGTGAGATTTATTAACAAGTGGTCAGCCCAGACGCGTGTGGAGACACAGCCTAATGTCAGGTGGGAATAGACAGACTTCCAGCTGTCCCCTTATGATCCGATCACCCAAGATGCATGATAATACCAGATGGAAACAGGCTCAATTGCTGTAAGGTGAACACAAAGCTCTGAGAGTGGGTGTTTAAATCTCCACACACACACACACACACACAGATAAAATACATATATTAAGTCTTTTGGTGTTTGTGCCTGATGCATGACTACCGTCTTGTCATGTGCCCAGGATGTAAGAGTTCAAGAGTGTCAGGCATCGACTTAAAATCTTTGGGAAAGTGAGAACATTTGTGTTGACAGCGTCAGCCAGCGAGCTTTTCAGCCCCTCTGATCCCCGTCACCGCTCTAATCCTGACTCATGACTCCAGGCTGGGGATGAGTAAAGCAGCCAATACCGCACCTAGCTGCTCCCAACCTCCCAGGGACTCATTACCTGCCGCTCCATGGACACACATACCTCCCGTTGCCAAGGGGCTCGTCTCGTCAGCCCACCCCAGAGACACGGAGGCTGTCGAGCTAACGTCAGCGGCCACAAAAACCCTGTTTTAAATGCTCACCTGGGTGGGTCTTAATGTCAACAAGTGTCAGCGCTGAGGTCTATCAAAACATCTATTCAGAATAATCTATGCATTTAAAGTGTCATCAGATGAATTATGATTGAGAGAAAAAAAACTAATTACCTAGAAAAATATCTTGGGAGGTCGCCAATAGTAGTGATCTGTGAAGGGCCTGTGAGAATATGAATTTTCTGTCTGAGCTGAGCGAAACAAAGCTGCCCTGTATTTGTATGATACAGGCTTTGAACTGAGAAGAGTCTTGTCTCTGATGATCACAACACCAGTGCTGTTCAAAGACAATAATTGGACTGGCCTTTACAGGTCTATCTCCGCTATAATCACTCAACAGGAGGGGTAGCGAGAAAGAATACAAATGAACCAAATTTTCCAGAATGAAATTGAAACAGAGAGGGAAAAAATGAAAAAGGAACAAAAAGTAGCCACTGGAATAAAACGGAAGATGGATAATGAGAAATGTGCCCCATCAAAGAGTCAAAGACAAAAAAAGTAGCAGACATCCCTTCTATTTATCCAACCATTCCCTTCTAATCCACTCTGCTCCCTCCCACTCCCTCATTTCATTTTCACAGCATAATGCAATCATAGGCAGCCTCAAGAGGAACCCGTCCCCACTGGTGTGAACATGCTGGGTGCAGACCGTCGGCGAATGGTGGCACGTTGGAAGGCAACAGGTTTCTGAGCCATCAGTTTAGTAGTCACTGTCGCTGACCATGTTAGTCAGCCAGCTAACGAAGGACAAACTGTTTGCTCTTTTTGATATTGTGGTTCACACAGCAGCCTGCCTGCGTTAAATAGACTTCTGCTTCTGCAGCAGAGTCTCGGCTGAAGCTTGTTAGTTCAACATAAAAGCTGATGACTCCCTGTTGTACCTATGCTGAGCTTCTCACTGGGATTCGACCGCTGCAAAATGTCTGTGATTATCTGAACTGACGGTGATACAATTTTCAAGTCTATTAAAAAAAATAGTTATCCAAAGAGGCATTAAATGAAGGTTTCAGTCTGTAGAAATTATTCCTGTTCACACTGCCCATGAAAGGAATACTTAACCCAGTAAATGAAAATTGGTATATCAATTGACCTTTTGCTAAGCTCCGCCCCTTTGCAATGGTCCGACAGGCTGTCAGAGTAAGCATGGAGCTCACACTGTAACTAACTGCACTCCCTGAAGAAATATTATCATATTGTTGGAAAACTAAAAGAGTGATTCCAGAGATAAGCAGACAGAGGGGTCTACAGTCTGTGTTTGAAGGATGTATCCAGGATGTCAAACTGACTCAGCAGCAACAACAGGTTAAAAAGACAAAGATAGTTAGAAGCTAAAGCCGAACTACAGGCTACAGATCACAGTGTAAAAGTGAACCACCACATCACTGCTGATCGCCACAGAAGACAATGAATATAAAGGGAAACTTTGCTGATATTGAACCAGCTGTGTGGCATCGCAGTGTGTGCAGATGAACAGTGTTTGGCTTCACCCCTGTGCCACCGCTAGCGGTCAGACCTCCGCCGCCGGACGGGCAGGGGTCAAACAATGTTCATCTGCGCATAATGCGATGACACACAGCTGGTTGAATATCAGCAAAGTTTCCCTGCTTCCCTTCACTGGTTCCTGTACAGCAGGGTCGGTCTATTTTTCACTGTTATAATCATTAAAAAAACAAAAGCAGCATGTGTATACATTCAGTAGGCTATATCTTCAGTAGCTAGCTAGCTAACCCTACACTTTTCAGGGTTTGATTTTGGTTTTGGAACAGGGAAGAAACGTATATAGTTTTCCAACCTCTCCAGGTAACGAGTATCATTAATACACGACGTGCCCCAGGCACAACATTTAACTCCAAATCCACAAAACCAGCCTGAAAATGAAGGAAATCTGAATCAATGGAGCACAGCTGTGTTGTTGTTGGACCCTGGTCTGAGCTGGCCTGATGCTACGTTATGATTGGCCAGTCTGCGTCCGAGGCAGGACTTAGCAAAGAGTCAACTGGAAATTACGCCTGCTTAAGCCTCATGTTACCTTCAGATACGTTTTACTGGAGACAACAAGGACTGTAGATTTTGTTTCCTATCACTTACACAAAAACCACAATAAAGATTTATGATGCAAGAACTGTCTTTTACCTTTTGTAAAGTGTGTCGCCAGCAAACTTGAAAGGCAACCCCAGCTTTGTCCACTTGGTGTTTCCCTTTGCTATATTTGCTTTTCTATATATGCATATTTCATCGCCTTGTCTGGGTTTTTGTAGTTTCCACTTAGATGTCTGCAGCTTACGGTCTGGCAGTATCGTCCCAAACACAGCAAAATAAGGAAACAACAGGCAGAGGGCAGAGTCTCTGCAGATAAATACACTACCACACACTTGTAGTGGGTCGTAAGTGATGACAGAGTGGGATTACTTCTGTATACGTTGTTTTAAAAGGAAAATCCTGCAGAGTATACCTTTGAAAAAAGAATCTTTTACAGGCCAATAAGAACAAGAGGAATGATTACAGCAAGTAAACCTGTTCTAATGTTCATGACTAGGTGGCAGGTTTGAAAAATTTTTTAAACGCTACACTTTTACTTGTATGGCAGTAGTTTTCTATGACGGTGCTGATATTAGTCTGGTGCCTTTCCCTTCACTTCTCTATGTCAGAGCATCCACTGACTGTTATTTCGTCACTTCTAAATGTTGTACAGTAAATGTTATGTACATTGTAAAACTAGGATACGATTTTATATCCATGTTTATCTTTAGTTTCCTCCATCGGACTTCCCAGCAGCTGCAGTCTGGATAAAATAGGGATGGACTTTATTACTTTGGCCCTGAGTAAAACTTCTAAAGCCTCACAAATACATTTATCAGCATTTGAGCCTGCTGGGGCCTTGAGGGCCAACTTTTATTAACTTTTATTAACTATAACTTTTATTAACTTTTAACTTTTTTTCAGCATTCATAACTACTTTACACGTTTGATGAATGAAACAATCTCAAGTTGATATATCATGACAGTTATTTTAAAAAAACCCATCCATTTATTTGGCTTTATCCTGATTGGACCCTGGTTGGAAACTGCTAAGCCCTGCGGTGAAACCCAGCATGCTGAGGGCCATTACCGCACAACCCCTCAATGAGCCTGCATCGATTCCCTCATCCAGACTGAGCCCAGAGAGCTCCAGACAAAACAACTGTCTACCTGCCGCGGGGAAATCTAAACACAATCCCTCAGAGTGACACAGACTAAACTCACACACACACACACACACACACACAGATATATACACACACACTCTTTTGTAAGCACACTGAGAATAAACTGTCATGTAGTAAATGGGTACAAGCCGCCCCCTAGTGCCCACACAGCAGATTACCTTGCATTGGCGATGCTCTGCAGGAGCCTGCTGGTTTGTTCGGAGAGGTCAGAGGGCACCAGGATCTCCACAGGGTTGATCTTTAGGACACGACCCTCCAGCTCAGAGCGATACTGACCATCAGGGAAACAGTCCAGTAACACGTCGCCTGTGCTGGGTTGAACTGCCTGCATACATAAACAAACGCAAAAAAATGAATGCACACAGTGGTCTATAACATAACCCCTTTACATCAGGGGTTCCCAGCTGGTGGGTTGTGGTCCAAAAGTGGGTTTAATTGCTAATTTAATTAACTATAAATATCAATCTGGTTAAAACTGAAAGATGTGATGATGTGCATTCATAGATTTTAAGAATTAGTACTCATCAGCCTCACCACCAGCCCCACAGTGAGCTGCTTCTTCAGTTTGTCCCAGGTCTCACTGATGCACAGCAGGAAGCTGTCAGGCGGGTCCAACACCACGTCACCACAGCCTCCCTCCTCTACATCCCCAAGTTTGCAGACAGGGTTCACATCTCAAAAACAAATCTGTTAAGGACACTGCTTGAGATTGAAAAAGCTGTTTTAAAGGACTCTACATTGCAGTGTTTTTGTGTCTAAGTGTCTAATGGAGACAACATTTTTTGAAATTGGTCCACTCTGCAATTTACTTCCAATAAAAGTGCTTGTTTTTGCCACTGACAGGCTCAGATTATTATTACAAGTGTCTGACAACATTACAGAGGCCATCCCTGCAGAAATAGACCTTTTATTGAAGAGTAAGATCCTTTTTGTTTAACCAGAAACAGCCACAAAATCACCATTCCTAAACCCACCAGACTCCATTTAAAAAAACAGCAATTTTATAATCGTAGAACACACTTGGTTTAAAGTCGACAGAAATAAAATAAAGCCAATAAAATCCATCTTAGTTCACCTTTCCACTGTTCCAACAATCATCAAATCTGATTTAGTTAAAATAAACCCTTAATTCACCCAGTTAGATGTGAAAATATGCTGGATCTATACATGCTTAAATGATTATTTATTTAAATGGAGTCTGGTTGGTTTGCTGAGGGTGAGTTTGGGGCTGCTTCTGGTTAAACAAAAAGGATTTTATTCTTTAATGAGAATGTCTGTCCCTGTAGGAATCCTTTCCATAATGTTTTCAGACACTCGAAATTATAGTCTGAGCCTGTCCGTGGCAAAAACAAGCACTTTTAGTGGATGGAATTTGAAGGTATGCATATGCCCTAGCGTACATTGCAGGCTTTATCGCCGCCAACAGCTGCAGAAAAATTATTGTCTCCATTAGTCACTTAAAGACAAAAACAGGCAAAATAGAGGCCGAGTTGAAATGACAAAAGTTACCCTTCAAGGACACACACACACACACACACACACACACACACACACACACACACAGATATTCACGCTGTATAAGGATACCCTCTCCCACCAGAGTGGACTTGGTGTACAGAGCACTCAGCTGACGAGCGAACAGAGCGTTCCTATTGGACCCTGAGGCCTTGATCGCCGACGTCTCCGTCTGCTTAACCACACCAACCTAGAAATTAAAGACAATGTCAAAATAAGAAACACTGCGAGTCTAAACAGCTTCAAAATATGAGCAATACATAAGATATGTTCCATACCTTGTGTCCGTGGGACACCAACCGTCTGACATGAACAAACAAACGGTGTGTGGGGATGCTGCACGTCATGAAGTTGTGATCCAGGTGACAGACGATATTCAGCTCCTTTGCAGCAATCTGTCTACACACAAAGAAATGAGGTCTGTGCTGCCTTAAAGGATAATGAAGGCCAAGTTGAGTGATCAGACATATTGGTGTTGGGTCTAAAATTTGAATCTATAATATAGTACTGGCATACAAGTTGTTTTTTAACCTGAGCATTCAGATATCAGTAATTATCAGATAAAAAGAAATCATTTTTTCCTATCCACTGACACTGATTTAAAAATATACTATGTAGCAATAAGTTACCAAAAAACACCTTTTATACAGAGGGAACACACGTAACAATTACATTTATACCTGAAAATATTCTTTAACCTTCTGTGGTGCACATTATGATGCCACATGGTAAATAAATTTTGGTGATGTCTTTTTTTTTTTTTTTTTTGGTCGTAAAATAGACCATGTATAAAAGTCTGGTGGATTTAGGAATGGTGATTTTGGGGCTGTTTCTGGTTAATCAAAAAGGATCTTACTCTTTAATAAAAGGTCTATTTCTGCAGGGATCCCACCCGTAATGGTGTCACTTATAATCTGAGCCTGTCAGTGGCAAACACAAGCACTTTTATTGGAGGTAAATTGCAGAGTGGACCAATTTGTCTCCATTAGACACTTAGACACAAACACACTGCAAAGTAGAGTCCTTTAAAAGAGCTTTTTCTATCTCTTTGCGCTTCAAGCAGTGTCTTTGACAGATTTGTTTTTGAGATGTGAACCCCGTCTGCAAACTTGGGGATGTAGAGGAGGGAGGCTGTGGTGACGTGGTGTTGGACCCTCCTGACAGCTGACTCCTGACAGCTTCCTGCTGTGCATCAGTGAGAAATGGGACAAACTGAAGAAGCAGCTCACTGTGGGGCTGGTGGTGAGGCTGATGAATATGAATTCTTTGAAACTATGAATGCACATCATCACATCTTTTAGTTTTAAAGCTATAGTGCGTAACTTCTACAGGTCTGTAAATGTCCGTTTCACCCAAGCCACTACTAGAGGAGATGACACAATGCTGATTAAGCCGATCGGCTCCTCTAACATCTCGCGGTATTTTTCAACATATATATCATTTTTAGTATGTGTGTCGACCGGCGACATTCCTGCGCTGGCGCAAAGGAAATGCTTCCTCACAACAAGAAGGGAGGGGGAGGAAGAGCGGAGAGTGTCATAGTTGAGAGGTAGAGCACAGGTAGAAAGAGAAAGCAACATGGCGGAGAAGCGGCCGAGACACGGTTCAGAAGTGGATCCTACCACAAAGAAAAAGCCTGGACGTTCGGCTGAAGTTCTATTTGCAAAGAAGGAAAGTGACTGACTGAGAAGGCAGACAAGGATTTGTATTGGCGTCACTTTTCCTCGGTGGAGAGCCCTGAAGGAAGAAATTGGGCTGAGGGCAGACACGGATGTTGCCTTGCTGCTGTTGGACAAGTAAGTGACTTGGTTTATAATTATATTATGAGTAGTATGTATTGCTGTTACATGTACTGGACCTAGTACTTTATTATTTTCTTGGAAATGGTGCTATGAATGCAATGTAATGTTAGCAGCCTGGTGTTCGCCACGTTGTGTAGCATTGTGTACACGGTGTGAAGTGACTATTACTCTGTGTACACGGTGTGTGGCGACTGGCGAGTGTTACTCTGTGTACGGTGTGTGGTGAGTGTTACTCTGTGTACACGGTGTGTGGCGACTGGCGAGTGTTACTCTGTGTACACGGTGTGTGGCGAGTGTTACTCTGTGTACACGGTGTGTGGCGAGTGTTACTCTGTGTACATTGAAGTGCCACCGGCTTATTAGTTGTAATAACACATTATCCGCTGGGAGGCGACAGAAGTTATGCAATATAGCTTTAAGCGGATTGATATTTATAGTTAATTTAAAAATTAGCGATTAAACCCACTTTTGGACCACGACCCACCAGCTGGGAACCCCTGATGTAAAGGGGTTATGTTATAGACCACTGTGTGCATTCATTTTTTTGCGTTTGTTTATGTATGCAGGCCGTTCAACCCAGCACAGGCGACGTGTTACTGGACTGTTTCCCTGATGGTCAGTATCGCTCTGAGCTGGAGGGTCGTATCCTAAAGATCAACCCTGTGGAGATCCTGGTGCCCTCTGACCTCTCCGAACAAACCAGCAGGCTCCTGCAGAGCATCGCCAATGCAAGGTAATCTGCTGTGTGGGCACTAGGGGGCGGCTTGTACCCATTTACTACATGACAGTTTATTCTCAGTGTGCTTACAAAAGAGTGTGTGTGTATATATCTGTTTGTGTGTGTGTGTGTGTGTGTGAGTTTAGTCTGTGTCACTCTGAGGGATTGTGTTTAGATTTCCCCGCGGCAGGTAGACAGTTGTTTTGTCTGGAGCTCTCTGGGCTCAGTCTGGATGAGGGAATCGATGCAGGCTCATTGAGGGGTTGTGCGGTAATGGCCCTCAGCATGCTGGGTTTCACCGCAGGGCTTAGCAGTTTCCAACCAGGGTCCAATCAGGATAAAGCCAAATAAATGGATGGGTTTTTTTAAAATAACTGTCATGATATATCAACTTGAGATTGTTTCATTCATCAAACGTGTAAAGTAGTTATGAATGCTGAAAAAAAGTTAAAAGTTAATAAAAGTTATAGTTAATAAAAGTTAATAAAAGTTGGCCCTCAAGGCCCCAGCAGGCTCAAATGCTGATAAATGTATTTGTGAGGCTTTAGAAGTTTTTACTCAGGGCCAAAGTAATAAAGTCCATCCCTATTTTATCCAGACTGCAGCTGCTGGGAAGTCCGATGGAGGAAACTAAAGATTAACATGGATATAAAATCGTATCCTAGTTTTACAGTGTAAATAACTTTTACTGTACAAACACATTCAGACTAATATCAACACCGTCATAGAAAACTACTGTCGTACAAAAGTGTAACATTTAAAATTTTTACGTCATTAAAAGGTTCCACTTTTTCAAGCCGGCCACCAAGTCATGAACATTAGAACAGGTTTGCATTCCTCTTGTTCATATTGGCCTGTAAAAGATTATTTTTTTAAAAGGTATACTATGCTGGATTTTCCTATCCACTATGACACTGATTTAAAAATATACTATGTAGCAATAAGTTACAAAAAACACCTTTTATACAGAGGGAACACACGTAACAATTACATTTATACCTGAAAATATTCTTTAACCTTCTGTGGTGCACATTATAATGCCAGATGATTACAAAAAACTTTAGCTTATGTAAAGCACCTGCAGCGGTAACCTGGTCACTTTACAAGGTAGCTACTGTGTTTTCTATATTATATTTGTACTGTGCAGTGTGTATACTGTTTCTATTGTGTTAGGCACGTGGATTTACTGCAGTGTGCATTGCACCTTGAATTTTATTTTTATTAATTGCATCTACTTGTTATGTGTAGGACCACAGATGGAAATTAGTGTTTCTCTAAATCTGATGCAATCATGTTTTTCATCTCCTGTAAATGATTAATGTCATTGCACACTGTCCTCTTGTAAATCACATAAACTAAACTAACATAGCTGTATTAAATATACAAAAGAGGGGTTTTGTTAATGGAAAATATTTAATAACCTCTTAAAAAACATTACAAAATGAACTCTTTCATACACTTGTTTGTCTGAACGTTGCCCTCAGACAACACTGTGGAACAGCCCACAGGAATGAAAGCATTAAAGAGTGAAAGCATATTTCAGCAACTTTACATCAATAATTTAGCAAATTAAACTGTCATACCCCTCTTCAAAACAAAATATTGAGTTACACTTCAGTGTCTGATTATTTGTTTTACATTTAAAAGCCTGTTTTCAGTCTCCCAGTGTGTGTCTTTCCTGACATACTGTATGTTGCCACCATTTGTTGTGTTGCTGCTGGGTTTCTAGCAGCTTGTCTTCCACACCTTTAAATTCTAATTTATCCCTGCTAACATTAAGCGGGAGTGATAATTTTACCCTCTGCTTCTTTGAAGAGTTACTGAATAATATTGCATTCATTCTGTAAATGAAAGAAAAAATGTGTGTAAAATATAAGCATACAGGCTGCACTGCAGAGACAACACTCAAAGTGCACTGTTGTAGTAGGCTATGCAGTGTGACGGCCTGAACTTTATCGCGGCTAATATTATTAAATGTTTCTAGGTTCATTTGTGGAGATAAAAAGAAACTTGTTATGACTGTTATACATTTAGCAGTACATAAACATAAATAAAAAAGTACCAAAAAAATGTTGTGATGGGAATTCATAAGTGTACAGTGTTATTTTCTATTTTTTATTATCAAATAAAGCACATTAAACAATAAAAACTAAACTCTACTCATCTGTTATTGTGATAACAGAAAAATACCCTTTCTATTTTTGTGAGGAAAGATGATGGAGCTGAACAGTGTGAGAAAGGCCCCAAGAAAGGGAATCAACATGGCCTCCAGAGAGTAGTGTGAAAATATAAACAGTGCTGTTGGTTTCTTTAAGGTCCTGGCATCATATTCCAGGATGAATTGTGTGAGTGTAAACAGACAGAAATGGGATGTTACTGTTACTGAGTGGCAACACGGCACCATAGAGGGTTAAATGATTTCAAGATGAAGACAATATCCATAACTTTCACACAGTAATATATGTGATAAATTTTGGATTGATACTGTTAATTCTCTTCCACAGATGCTTTTCAGTTCTCACCTCTGCATCCTCCCCAAAGAACCTGTACTTGTATCCACACTCCACAGCCAGCAACGCATCCTTATGCTGCTGTTTCAGCTGGATGACCTGCAGCTCCAGGGGAGTGTACACACTCTTTGAGCGTCTGGAGGGGGCGCTAGACTCTGATGGGGGACTCTGCTCTGCACTCCTTCCTCCTCCTGGCTTGGCAAACTGAGAAAAGCGGAACCCCTGCAACAGAAAACAAAACGTATAAAATCACTTTTTGTCCTTTTAGTAGAAACTGTCCCCAGCTCAAATTACAAAGTTCTTTATTCTGCTCTAACAGAGCAGAAGAAACTAACTTAACTTCGCTGTGCGTGTTTAGTCACTTCATCTTTTATTTGATGTTGTCTATAGCCCAACAAGAACCCATTTCAGAAGAAGTTGGGACAGGGGCAGCAAAAGACTGGGAAAGTTGTTAAATGTTTGAAAAACACCTGGAACATTCCACAGGTAAAGGTAATAGAATCATTAGTGTGAATAATCATTTCATTTTTCTGTAACCGCTTATCCTCTTGAGGGTCGCGGGGGGGCTGGAGCCTATCCCAGCTGACATTGGGCGAGAGGCGGGGTACACCCTGGACATGTCACCAGACTATTACAGGGCTGACACATAGAGACAGACAACCATTCACACTCACATTCACACCTACGGGCAATTTAGAGTCACCAATTAACCTGCATGTCTTTGGACTGTGGGAGGAAGCTGGAGCACCTGGACATGCAAACTCCGCACAGAAGGGATCCCCCACCCTGGGTTTGAACCTGTGAGGCGGCAACGCTAACCACTATAACACCGTGCCGCCTGTGGGCAAATAGTCCAGCTGTTTAAAAATGTTCTCAATGCAGATTTACAAAGACATTTAGGATTTCACCATCTGCATTCCATAGTATCATCAAAAGATTCAGAGAAACCGGAGAAATCTCTGCCTGTAAGGGGCAGGGCTGAAAACCAGTATTGAATGCCTGTGACCTTTGACCCCTCAGGCTGCACTGCATTAAAAACCAACATGACTGGATAAAAGATATTACTACATGGGCTCAGAAACACTTTGGAAAACCATTGTCGGTGAACTACAGTTTGTCGCTACATCTACAAATGCAAGTTAAGACCGCAACACGAAAAGTGAAAGCCAGATATCAACAACATCCAGAGAGACTGCCGACTTCTCCGGGCCTAACCTCATCTGAGATGGACTGATGCAAAGTGGGAAACTGTGCTGTGGTCCGACGAGTCCACAGTTCAGATTGTTTTGGGAAATCATGGACCTCGTGTCCTCTGGTCTGGAGAGGAAAGGGACCATCCAGACTGTCACCAGCACAAACTACAAAGCCAGTATCTGTGAGGGTATGGAGGTGTGTTAGTGCCCATGGCATCATGAGTAACTGTCTGTGAGAGCACCATGAATGCTGAAAAGATACGTAGAGGATTTTGGAGCAACATATGCTGCCATCCAGATTACGTCTATTTCAGGGATGTTCCTGTATACTCCAGCAAGACAATGTCAAGCTACGTTCTGCATGTGTTACAGCAGTGTGGTTTCATAGTTAAAGAGTGCAGGTAATAAACTGGCCTGTGTGCAGTCCACACCTGTCTCCCATTGAACATGTGTGGAGCATTACGAAGCACAAAATACAACAACGGAGAGTTAAGTCGTACATCAAGCAAGAATAAGAAATAATTTTACTTTCAATACTTCCACAGTTACAGTCCTCAGGTCCCGAACACTTGCTGAGTGCTGTTGAAAGAAAAGGTGATGGGACACAGTGGTAAACACGTTCAGCACTGTCCCAACTTTTTTGGAACGTGTTTCAGATCATAAGGGATTTGCAAATCATTGCATTTTGTTGTTATTTACGTTTCACGCAGAGTCCCAACTTCCAGAGACAAAACTGAAACTCCACACAGCTTAAACTCTAAAACATCATTGACACTTCTCTCCAAAGGTCAGAGGTCAGCTCCTATGGTGCCGCCGTGCTCATAGACACTCTAGCAGGGCAAAACATCCTCTGATGACAGTCATGTGATGAAGTCAACATCTACATACTGTGTACCTGTTTTGTAGCAGCCAGAACTGAGCTCTCCTTTTCTTCAGCCTCCTCCTCTTCGTCCTCACGCTCCTCCTCTGTCGGCTGAAGTCCTTTGTTGTCGCTGTTTTGATCTTTAACGTCCCAAGGAGACACACCGCTGCTTCCTCTTTCACTGATTTTACTGTCAGCCCCCTCTGTCCTCTTTTCTCCCCTCTGAGCGTCGCTGTGCCCGATACTGGGCTCAGCTGAGCAGGTGAAGCCTTTCAGCCTCTCCAAGGTGGAGGCGCAGAGGGCGGCTGCTCCTCGCCTAGAGGTTTGCGTCGTCTCTGGAGTGAGAAGAAATACAGTTCCATGAAAGAAATTCAAATATATTTGTGACAGTTTTTCATACATAATCTTCACCTGGGTGCACTCAGGAAGATTTTCTCCTGCATTTAAGCACCGGTGTGTCACACCAGCAACCAAAATGCATCATAACAACTCCATCTTATATCTCTCCCACACTACAAACATTACTGCACATGCTGTTTGGAGAGGTGTGATGCTTTCAGAAGCCATGTGTGATGTGTGTGAGGGCTGAGAAGAAATGGACTGACTTCCTGTTTGAGGTGCACACACTCACCTTTAGTGTCCTGGCAGGGTGCCAGCTCACAGTCCAAATCCTCCACCTGTTGGTCTTGCACAGGAAGCCTGGCTCGTTTTGGTGACAAACCAAAATCATCATCAGGAGAAAGTTTCTTCTGCAGGACAAAGGCAGCAGAGCTTCAGTAATTAGCAGCAAGTTTAGCATGTCTGCTCTGAGCATGTGTGTTCATCTGTGTGTGTGTATTCACTGGAGCAAACTAACCTTGCCTCTTGAAAGCTGGTGCACAGCAGGGTTTTGGTTAATCCCACACTGAGTGTTGGAGGCACTGCTGCTGCTGCTGCTGCTGCTCAGCCCTCCGAAGTACCTGCTGATGGAGGTCTGGGTGGTGCAGGACTTCTTCACAGACTTTGGCATGTTTGAATGTGTCTTTATGTGCCATGCATCGTGAAATAAACGTGTAGAAGTCTGCGCACATGCGAAGCTACATAGAGCAGTGAGGAGCTTTAGCAGCCCGGCTTTTCAAAACATAGCTCGGCGCATGTGCTGAGATCACCCGGGCGCGTAAATGACGCAGCGAGCGTCAAGCCAATCAGAACGCGAGAAGGTTTCCGGTTATATTTTTCGAAATAAAACCATTTATTTAGACTATGTTTTTTGTTTCTTTTTGCACACCTAGTCCGTTTTGAGGTTTGATTTTATTTACTGTTATTATTTTATTTTTATTTTTTTCATTCTTTAGTTAATCCCCCCACTGCAAAAGAAACCTACATCTCTAAAAAAAAAATCAAAAAAAAACAACTTTTAATTCATGGGCCACATACAGTCTGATTTGCTACCAGGTGGGCTTCACCAGTAAAACCATTGAATAACATCCTATAAATAACAAACACCTCCAAATTTTTCCTTTTTTTATCTCTAGTATTTTTTTTTTTTTTATTTAACCTTTTTTAACCAGGAAGTCCCATTGACACTGAAAATCTCTTTCAAAAGAGAGACCTGGCCGAGGTAGCAGCCAATCAATACACATTTAAAATGCAACAAATACAAATTCACAATAAAACTATTCGAACATAGTGGCCTCTTAAGAAAAACAAGCACATCTCTGTCACCACATTCTTAATGATGATGCCCTTAAATTCATCAATGAATATAAGTGTTTCAAATTTTAGATCTGATATGAAGTAGCCTACATTTTAAAAACGCTCATCCATGTACAACACAGATGGCAAACAGCCTGTGATTTCTCTAAAAGAATAAATGCAATTTCAACAATATGTCTCAGTTTTTCCAAATTCAGTCAGTCCACTACTCAGTGTCATTACATGTTTGTTTTTCTTTCTTTTTTTTATAATTCAAACTTTTATTGATTTTGGTAAGGTTGGTACATGACACATCAAATGAGACATTCACTCTTGAGGAAATACAATACAAACAGGGTGATCTTTTTTAAAAAGAAATAAATATAAAAAATGGGCAGGGCAAGACAAAAATCACACTTCCAGGCCCCCAAACAATGCAAAATAATTCCAAAAATCCCCCCAGATGGGTCTATGAGCACAGTTGGTCACCCTAGTCTACATGTTTAATTTTCATACATTTCCATTCCTGTGTAGTAATGCTGACATTTGTTTGTTTGTTTGTTTAGCACGTATTAAAAAAAAGTCAACATTACAATTACCATAAAAAAATTGACAATCAGTAATACAATTACCATTAAAACAATTTACAGGTGGTGATATAAGAACTTCTTTTTAGGAAAAAAAAAAAAAAAAGAACAATGGGGAACATGCAAGGAGGTCCAAAAACCCTCAAGGGGCTTGACAAGAGGACTTCCCTAAATAAACATTAAATTAGACATTGTCATGTGCATAAAGGCATCACCACACCAAACCAAAGTGGAGGCTATAGAGGAAGCAGGTTAAGTTATCACCTGCCTACAAACCATTTACAAATCAAAAGTTTTGCAAGCACCTTAGCAGCAGGGTTCCACCAATACTGTTTTAAGATAAAAATGTAATACAGATTCTTTTGTGCTGAAGCTGCTGATTGACAATATTTAACACAATGTTCGATATCTTTAAATATGACCACAATAAGTTTTCATTGCTTTTTCAGAGAGCTGTATTCTCGTCAGGGTGGAAAAATCTCTGAGGCCTTCACAAGTACATCACTATTAGGTGGGCAAAGTCATCCAGTGGGCCTGACTGGACACTTTGGTGGGCCGGTTCTGGCCCCGGGACATCTGTTTGAAACCACAATAGTGTGAGAGAACATAACGGAAGATCAGAGAATAAGGAACAACAACGAGATAGACAGACAATGCCAGGGGTTAAAAATAAATGGTGATACAGATAAATACAAGATATGCAATAAAATTATACCGAGTCCTGATGTAGGATTCTGCTTCCTTTTTAAAGGTGCAGAAAGAGGGTTTGATTTTTAATACCTTACATTTATGGATATAAAACTTGGCCAGCAATATGATGAGTTTACACAGGTTACACAGAAAAAAAACTCATTTTCTAGTTCTTACTTATAACTTGTAAACCCAAACAGTATATCTGTAAAGCAAAGTACAAAAGCATCATATTATAGTCCAACAGATCCCTTACCACAGAGTCAGAGTGTGTTCACAAGTCCAGTACAAAGGGGAGACAGTTTCTGGTTGCATGTTACAAAATGCACATGGTGTCGTTGTCCTTCTTGAACCTGACTAAAAATGACTTGACAGGGTAACAGGGATGAATGAGCTCAAAGGAAACCTCTTTAACTTTAATAACCGGTAGATATCTGTTAGAAAGAGAGCATATTTTTTATAGGCCCTGAACAAGCTTATTCTGGGTTGCTATTACTTACAGGAGAGAGACACAGTCAGTTAGGAATGATGTGCAGATTTTTTTTTGTTATGTTTAAAGACTTTGACTTGTGGCATATCATCTCATCTAGTTGCATCATCTTATTGCCCTTTTATTTTGAAACGTACTTAATTACTTCCTGTCTCATTATGTGCCAAAGAGAGCCTCCTCTGCATCTGCGTCTCCAGACTTAACAATGTGCCCTAATTACAGACAAGAACACTATTATACCACAGTAAGTACCACTTCATAATGTCTCATATCATTGCGACAAATAATTAAGAACAGAAATTATTATAAAAATATAACCTACTGGTCATGAACAAAGGCCAGGCTGCTTTTTCAGTAACAACAGTGGATTGTCCTTCCTACAAATGTTAGAGACTATTAGTTTAAAACTAATGTTGTAAAAATGTATGAAAGACAAGACAGTTGTGTTTTTATTAAGGTCTGATAAAGCCTCTCCAAACATTTAGGCTCTATGCTGGTCTGTCCTACAGGTATGTGTGGCTATATATTAATGTTTTACATTTTTTTATGTGCAGTATATCCACGCCTAAGGACAAGGACGAAAATTAGCATTGTGCTGCATCTGGTGCAATCCATATACACTCACTTTATTAGGTACACCTTGTTAGTACCAGGTTGGACCCCTTTTGCCTTCAGAACTGCCTTAATTCTTGGTGTCACAGATTCAACAAGGTGCTAGAAACATTCCTCAGAGATTTTGGTCCATATTGACATGATAGCATCACACAGTTGCTGCAGATTTGTCGGCTGCACATCCATGATGTAAATCTCCCGTTCCACCACATCCCAAAGGTGCTCTATTAGACTGAGATCTGGTGACTGTGGAGGCCATTGGAGTACAGTGACCTCATTGTCATGTTCAAGAAACCAGTTTGAGATGATCTGAGCTTTGTGACATGGTGCGTTATCCTGCTGGAAGTAGCCATCAGAAGATGGGTACACTGTGGTCATAAAGGGATGGACACGGTCAGCAACAATACTCAGGTAGGCTGTGGTGTTTAAACCATGCTCAGTTGGTACTAAGGGGCCCAAAGTGTGCCAAGAAAATATCCCCCACACCATTACACCACCACCACCAGCCTGAACCATTGATACAAGGCAGGATGGATCCATGCTTTCATGTTCATCTGAATGTGGCAGCAGAAATCCAGACACATCAGACCAGGCAACATTTTTCCAATCTTCTATTGTCCAGTTTTGGTGAGCCTGTGTGAACTATAGCCTCAGTTTCCTGTTGTTAGCTGACAGGAGTGGCACCTGGTGTGGTCTTCTGCTGCTGTAGCCCATCTGCTTCAAGGTTCAACATGTTGTTCATTCAGAGATGGTCTTCTGCAGACCTTGGTTGTAACCAGTGGTTATTTGAGTTACTGTTGCCTTTCTATCATCTTGAACCAGTCTGGCCATTCAGATCAGCAGTTTCTGAAATTCCCAGACCAGTCCGTTCCACGTTCAAAGTCACTTAAATCACCTTTCTTCCCCATTCGCTCAGTTTGAACTTCAGCAGGTCGTCTTCACCATGTCTACATGCCTAAATGCATTAAGCTGCTGCCACGTGATTGGCTGATTAGCTATTTGCATTAATGAGGAGTTGAACAGGTGTATCTAATAAAGTGGCCGGTGAGTGTATTGTTCAGTCCCTGTTTTAAATAAAACAATAAATGAACAAAATAACATGATTATGAAACACGGACAATCTTTCCAATAAGAAAGGCAAGTGGATTAGTTAGGTCTGGCAGCTTGTCGCATAGAGCAGCCACTGTATTCACATACTAAACTGTACTGGATTAGATTGGATTTCATGTGATTACTAAATGGGTGTGTGTGTGTGTGTGTGTGTTTCGGGGTGGCAACGTACAGTATAACAGTCAGCAGGTAGAGCACTGGGATCAGGTGTTAGGCGTTTCCAAAAACATACAAGTTGTAACACAGTGCATTAGAGAGCGGTTCTATCCTTCTTGGGTGTCCATAAATTTACTTCAGTTTTGGCCATTAGTGGAGACATGGGATGGAAACCTCCAAACATCAGGCATAAATGGCATGCTTCGGCTATGGAATAAACCTGTGAAGATGTCGGATCAGAGACTCGCTAAAAAGATATTTAATTGGGACATCTCTCCCGCTGTCATCCCTGGACTAATAAGTCGAAATCATTATTCTATTTGAACAACTTGTCACTTATTTTTCAGAACAGGTTACTTTGTGATATTCAGGAGATAAGAAGTGAAATGTTTCACATGTTTAGAGAAAAATGGACTGTTATTTGGTATAAATCAAAACTACAAACTTATTGTCTCATGAAGAAAAGCAATGTGGAACGTTACGTGTAAGTATAAGTATATTCTAGACAAAAGACAAAAGACCCCTGTGTGCACAGTTGCACTCACGACAATTAGCCTTAGAGACTGGAGGGTTTAATGCAGTGGTTCCCAACCTTTTTCTTGAGGGACCCATATTTTTACCATTGTAGACTTTGGTCACGTTACACACACCCATATTCTCACGATACATATTTTAAAAAGTTTCCATACAATTTTTTTTTATCTTTTTTAAATAAATGAATACGCTTTTAATATAACCCTTAAATGTATATGTTTTTGACACAAATTTTGACACATAGCACATTAAAATTATCAAGGGGGCTTTATGACCCAGCCTTGGCTTTTTGGTGCCCCCCTAAATAGGTCGTGCCCTCCGGTTGGGAACCACAGGTTTAACGCCACCCCAGTGGAAGACAGAATTTTTTTGCTGTGTAATTTAGGTGAAGTTGAGAATGAGGTCCATTTCTTACAGCCCCATATATGAGGACAATCAATCATTACACACAGAAGACACTACTTTTATCTAACAAAATAATAAAAGCCCATTTGATCCTTATCCTGACCAGATTTTTTGTCATGCCAAACTGATGACATCGCCTGGTAGCCTGGTCAGAGGCTGACCAATGGCTCAGCACGTAGCCTACTGTAGGGTCACTTTGTGTCAAAGTTTTCCATTTGGCTTACTCTTCTCTATTTCAATACCTCATGTACCCTCTCCCCGATCATTATTTTTAGCTTTATTTGTTCTCGTGAAGGAGCACCTGATTAACAAAGGCTAATGTATTTTAAGAACCACAAGAGGGAAGTGAAAGTGCTTTCTCTCTATTCGTCCAGACAAGCAATTAGGGGGGGTTGAAAAATAATGTGAACATTTATCACACAAATATATATTTTTTTCTGCCACTAAAGATGGTCTCATAGTCTATCAAACAGCATTAAGTTTTTGTAATCTTTTTCAAAAAGTGGATGGCTTTCTCTGGGACAATGAGGTCACTTTAGGGGTGACATTATTCAGGTCACTTGGGAGGAGTCTTTGTGAAGAAATGCAAATGTTCAAGTTCTGAAAGAAGACTGCAGCTAAGTTGAGCTGAAAGAGGAAGGCTTCCTTCCAGTTCTCTTCTCACTTGGCTGATTAACAATCTGTTTTTCTCCCTGTTCACAATGCAGCTTTATGGAGCTCTGATCCTGTTTATGACTCTGTCTACAGGTAAGAACCGCTTTCGAGTTTGGCCAGTGTGCATTTACTAAATATACTTTACTAATAATACTTTACTGTGAATTTAAAGTTAGTTTTAAAGGTTTAAAGGTTTTTGTAAAAGCTAAAAAGGGAAGTGGTGTCAGAGAGTTAAAGTAATAGTTTGACATGTCGGGAAATATGTTAATCTATGAGAAGATTGAACTGGTTAGCATTAAGCGTGGGAACAGAAATGATCACATTATGTTTTGTTTTCTCAGTGCTTGTGTAAACATTTGTGGTTTTATGGCAGTTATGGGTCAAACTGTTTGCTCTGAAACAGTGACCTCCAGTAATCTTCACTGGTTAACCTCATAGTGGTGAAAAGATGCCAATAAAAGGAATATATTGCCCAGTTAGAGCACTTGATGGTCAGTGGGTCACTAGGGCGCTAGTCATCATACCAAGGCTTAGTCAGTGGCCTTCAACGTCTGATACTGACCTGCCTTGACATCCTTTAACATCTGTATAAGACACACCAGGCTGAGTCCTTATTAGACAGTCAGAGCAACTGATGTAGAAAAAGAGCAAGAAATCTAATGTTGAGAGGAGGTCGGGGAGCAGTGGTGGGTAAAACACAAGACTTTCACCTAGGAGATCAGTGTTTGGGTCCTGTGGGAAACCAAAAGTCAATGTCAAAATATTTTAACTACGAAATAGTGTGTGAAGTATGTCGTTTGTTATGTTACCTCAGTAACATACGGATTTTAACCCAGACAATGATCTTTTATCTGAACTTAATGAGGTACTTTTGTTGCTGAAACCTAACAAAGTAAATCTAAAAACTATAAACTGGAAGTTACTGAAAGTGCGTACTGAGCGGAAACTGTACAGCTGCTGTGAACACGGACATGTTTTTTGAAAAGACACTATATATGTAATCTGGTGCTGTAGGGTCAGCCAGAGCATTATTGTTTGACGTGTAGGGACACTGACCAAGTGTCAGTTTTGGGACGAGTTGGAGGTGAGAATGTGTTGCAACCTTAAACCTTTAACTTTAATCTATTGACCTCATTTATGGGTTGAGAGGCAGGTTCAGAGCTCATACAAGTGTTTGCAGTTTGCTGACATGGTTGTGGTTTTGTGTTTTGTGTGGTTATATTAACGGTTTTGAAAAGTGTTAAAGCTCAAAGGAAAGTTTTTGAAATCTAGAGAATGATGTTGACCTATGATTTGCTTAATGTGTGTAAGCGAGAGAAAAGCTGTGACATAAACTGGTAATAAACCAAAGTGATGTGTGCTCTGTAGCATATCTTGACCTGATGTGCTCTGTGTCTCTGTACAGCGTGTGGATTACGATGCTACACGTGCACAGCCACCGACCCGCACTCCTGCACAGACACTAAATCTTGTCCCGTCATCTTCAACCGTTGTTTCTCTCTCAGAGTAGACGGTAAGTTTTTCTTTCAAGTCTCTGTAACTAATATTGCACACACCAAAATCAATCATCAAACTGCTGATTCAACATGCTGCTGTACCAAATGTCTGGTGTATCTGATATGTTTTGCAAACTGAGAGGTTTTTTTTCCCATCGTCCTTGGCAGGATATAACATGGTCACCAAGGGCTGCCAAACCAGCATAGCATGTGGAGGTGCCATGGCTTGCTGTGAAGGGAACTTGTGTAACAGTGCCATACCCACTGGTCCCAGTGTCATCCTCCTGCTGGTATCTTCAGCCATCATCACACTCTTCCTCTGAGGCTCTGGGATTTTGTTATTACAATGCTGCACTTTTTTCTGACCCCATTTGTACAGCTGAATGAGAATAAACAACTTCAATGTTAAGCTGCTGTTACATTAACATTTATATTTAAGTCTGAATCAAAGTGGTGGACGCACTGACTAACATGGCCATGTTTAGAGCCACAGTACTGCTATACAGATGGTTCAGTGGTCAGAAGACCAATATGTTGGTTTAAAACCTGGTTGGTCAAGGCTCCATACAGGTGTCCCCCGTGTAAAGTTGTGTTACATGAACCTTCTTTTAAGAAACTCAGTCGTGCTTTAAAGATCCAGTGTGTAGGATACAGGGGCATCTATTCATATAAATGGTCTATAATATTCACAACTATGTTTTCATAAATGTTCAATCACCTGAAAATAAGAATGAGCCGTTTATTTTTACATACGGAGTGGGTCCTCGTCCGCAGATTCAGTCATGTTGTTCTACAGTAGCCCAGAATGGACAAAACAAACACTGGCTTTAGATAGGGCCATTTGCACTTGCTTGTCTCGCACCGGCCACAATAGTTCTCATCCCAATTCGTCAAATATGGCCATTTTGTCAGTGGACTTTTACGACTCCATACGATGCACTAAATATCCTCCAGTGTCTGCTGTTGTCATTCCAATACGCCATTTCAATATACACTTGTTTCATGCATTGTGTCCTTTCAAAAATACATTTTCGTTTCGCAGGACATGCACAGTTTCTGCTTGTTAGACGCATACAGTCTTTTTCAAAATAAACTTACAACGCTGTTAAAACACTGCGTTTATTTCCTTGTGCAACAAAAGCACATGGTTATGTTTAGAAAAGACATCATGTGAAACAACAATCACACAGGAAGTAAACAGCAGGCTCCTGGGTGAAAGTCCAGGGTTAGTTTGGACCCATCCACCTCCACCACCCTATAGGGACTTTCCAGCTCAGTATAACACGGTGTTTGCGGCATTTCAATCTGATGCGACACGGCAGCATTTAAAACTGACGGCACTCTGAGTGGCTACATGAAGCTGGCTCCTAAAGAAAGTCAATCCTATAGATGTTGGTCAGTCCCCATAGACCTCCATGTTAAAATGCCCAACTTTACGGCAGAAATAAGCATGAATACAGCCTGGTACAAAAGACAATTTTGGTTTGTATTGCTATTTTCCCCCTTCACGACAACTGTGCGTGGGTCAATTTTTATGAGTCACCTGTTTACAATTTATTTAGACTTAAAGTTATGCATAATTAAGGGTGAGTCACTTTGAGTAACAGGCCGTCTGTCCATAGTGACCTTAGTCTCAGTCAGATCCAGCCACTCGTCTAAATACTCTCACTTTCTGGCTTCAAAAAACCAAGATAGTGATGGCCAAAATGCCCAAAGTTCTTCAAAACAGGAGTCCACAAACCAGTAGGTGACGTCATGGTAGCTACATCCATTATTTTTACACTCAATGATAAAACCTTACTGCTAGACGCCACTAAATCCTACACACTGCAGGTTTAAGGCTTCTGGTACAGTAGCTGGACTCCGTGAATTACACAGGTTTTTGTGTTTGTTTGAGGTAACAATAAAATTCTCAGACCCTTTGAGCTTTTTAAACCTTTTAAATATTCACTGTCATTCTGCATTACTTTTAACGTTAACTGGCATTTTTCAAAGTACACACTTTCCTTTTTTTTAAAGATTATTTTTGTGGGCTTTTTTTGCCTTTTAACGGATAGGACAGTGTGTGAAATGGGGAGACAGAGAGAGTGGGGACTGACACACAGCAAGGGGGCAGGCCAGACTCGAACCCGCGACCGCTGCAACGAGGCAATGCCTCTGTACATGGGGCGCTGGCACTATCCACTCTGTTACCGACGCCCCCAAAGTACACACTTTTCATAGAACACCATACTAACACTGTATGCAGACAGAAAATTCAAAAACCATATCGATCATATTTCACTTTATCACCTCCTCCACTTTAACACTTCAAACTCACCAGTTCACAAGGTCAAAGAGAGGAAATTTCACATCCTGTTTAAAGAAGTTTTAACAAATAAATCAGACAAAAGCATTTCTTAATTTCTCAAAGAGGAAAAAAACAAATGGATAATTTAGAAGCAAATCCCTCATGTCTTTCTGACAGAACAGTGTAACTAAGGCTAGAAAACAAGCTTCACTTATGTTTTATAATAATGTGTAGGTTGCAAAGTCAATGTCAGATGTGGCTGCAGCAATTAATGAAATACTTTGTAATTAAGCACTGTGACATTTACACGCGGATTTCTATCACCCAAAGGAAATTTATCTGCTACTAAACATGATAACCATTTCAGTTTTAGTTATCGTATTTACTTATTTACATGACTGTAGTCGTCTCTGAGCTGTAGCTCCCTTTGGGGCTGGCGTTGTTCAGGTAACTTGGGAGGATTCTTTGTGAGGAAATGCAAGTCAAGTTCTGAAAGAAGACTGACGGGTTGGACCATAAGAGGAAAAGCTTTGGAAGATTCGACATCGTCTCCAGTTCTCTGCTCACACAGTTAATCAGAAAAACGTTTTTCTCTCCGTTCACGATGCAGTTTTTTGGCGCTCTGATCATCTTTATGACTCTGTCTGCAGGTAAGAACATAAAAATATCTGTTTAACTGACAGTGTGTTTTGTGCACATTTGTAAAACGATGGGCATTAGATATGTGATTTTAGATGTGAGTGCTGCTGGCTGTACCACAATTTGCCCCTCGTAGATAATAAAGCTGACCTTGACCTTGACCTATGTGGAATCTTAAACCACGTGTGACAGTATTCTGTTTTTCCGTACAGCATGTGGATTACAATGCTACACATGCACAGCAACCGACCCCTACTCCTGCACAGCCTTCACAACTTGTCCCGCGACCTCTGACCGTTGTTTCTCTCTCAGAGAAGGCGGTACGTTTTTCTTTTACATAACAAGTTTCCACAGCTAATGTTGAACACACTCAAGTCAATCGTTTAACTGTTGATACAAAATGTTGCTGCACTGAATGCCTGGTGGATATTAAACATGTCATGACCTGTTTTGTAAACTGTTTTTCATGCTGTATTTTGCAGGTTATTTCAGGGTTACCAGGGGCTGCCAAACCAGCTCAGCATGTGAGGGTGCCATGGTTTGCTGCATGCAGGACTTGTGTAACGGAGCCATGTTATTTCCTCCCAGACCCAGTCTTGTTAGTGCCAGTGTCATACCCACTGGTCTCAGTGTTTTCTTCCTGCTGGTATCTTCAGCCATCATCACAATCTTCCCCTAAGGCTCTGGGATTTTGTTATTTCAGTGCACCTCTTTTCCAGCTCCAAACTGCAGAAGAAGAATAAACAACTTCAATATTAAGCTGCTTTTACATTAACATCTAAAGTCAGATTTTTTTTAGTGTGGCCCTGATTATCTGGTGCAAGAAAATATCATCTGCTTAATTAGCAATTTTGTCTTACTTGGGCTTATGCTGAGCTCGTATGTTTTGATACTATTTTACTTTTCTTTTACTTTGTATCTCTGAAGATTCAAGATAAATAATAATCGTATTTCAAATCTCGTAAATGTTTTGGCTTGCATGACTATGTAATCTCAATTTTATTTTGGGAATAAAAATATTTCACGGTTTAGACTTTTTTTCGCTTTCGTCTTTTTCAATCTGTCAAGTTCTGTTGATAACAAAATTGCTTCAGATAGTTTACAGTTTGATTTTGACCTGATGATGGTGCCAGAAGAGAAGTCAGGGGATAACTTAAATCACAAAGATTCATCGTCTAAGGGATCATGAAAATTTGTACCAAAGTTGTTTTAATCCATAGATGTCAGGATATTTCACTAGGTAAGTGAAAACATTGACCAGCAGGTGGCACAAGAGAAAAAGTCAGAGAATCACAAATCATTGGGATTCATCCTCCAACCATAAGCATCTGCACCAAATGTCATGGCAATCCATCATATGGTTAAAGAAACATTTCACTCAAATTTAAAAGATCATTGCCTGATATCAGGCAGAATTTAAACTCATTACACTCCGTCAGTCGAGTAGATGGAGCGGGTGGATTTAAAGGTCTGGACAAAAAAAGATCAATCTCATGTTAGCACTAGAGGTAAAGCCAAAGGGTCATGGGGCCACAGTCAGTCAGAGATATTGTCTGGGGAACATGAATGTCTGTACAAAACTTTATGGCAATCCAGTGGCTGATGTGATATTTCAGTCTGGACCAAAGTGGTGGATCTGCAGTTCAACATATAGCAGGTAGGTTCTATCACTTGTTGGACAAGGCTCTGTGAAGGTGTTACCCGTTTAAGGTTCCCAGCGAACATTTTTCCAGTGAAAAGACACCAGTGAAAAGACGTTCAGAAATGGTACAAAGGTTTTTTCATCGGCTAGTTAAAGACATTGGATTGAATGTTCACATTTAGACCATATTTCAACAGGATTTGCAATAGTGACATTTTTCATCCTCTACAGTGTGCAAACAATAGTCTATCATCATTTTGGAGCCTAATTAAGAAATCACATCCAGATTTCTCAGCTGAAAGTCAATACTGCAAGTCCTGGTGAAATATGGTCTAAATATAACTGTTTGATCAATGTCTTTAAATGGTTAAAAAACCTTTCACTTTTGAACCAGCTCTGAACGTCTTCTAAACCTCAAAATGCTCACTATAAATGTGTTTCTGGCTTGAGGATGACAACTACAACAGCTTACAAGCTACATACTTAGTCATATTTGACTGTGACCTGTGTGTTGAAACCCAAGTAAGATACATCACCAAAAAATGCATTTTTTCATCTTAGAAATGTGTACAACCTCTTTTATCAAAAAAAGACACCGAAAAACTTGTTCATCCTTTTATCTACAGCAGACTTGACTACTGTAACGCCTTGTTCTCAGGCCTCTTGAAGAAACCTTTAAACAAACTGCAGTTTGATACTATGGTAGAAACCTGTAAATAAAACAAGTATTAAGAAGGCACATAATTTCACTGAGGAAAGTCTGAATGTGCAGCAAGGGCTAGATATATATCTTTGAGTAGGGATGCACGATAACTTTTCTTTTAAACCGATACCGATA